GGAATGATCGAATCATGGTCCTGACAAAGTGTTGTTATTTTTCGGGTCAATCAGAAATACAATTTGGCTGCCATGGCCGCTATTTTGCTACTAAGTTCTAATAGGCCGATCTCACTTAAAATTGGTCTAGGAATGATCAGCTCATGGTCCTGACAAAGTTAAGTTAACATTATACTATTTTTTACTCAAATTGGTACATATTTCAACAACAAAAATAAATACTATAGACTCAGGTGACCGTTAAGGCCCATGGGCCTCTTGTTCGTGAATACAGTGACCTCCCCTTGATTTTGCTTTGGATATAACTGTAGCAAAGTTGAGCCAGGACACTTCTGTTGACCAGTAGCTCAGTTGATTGGAGCCTAGTTTTTACACCCAAATCACTGTTGTTGATTGTATATATTTGTTTGTTTCACCTGTTTTCTTTAAATTTTCAATAATGATTAATCAAACCTATTGCCATTATAGAGAAAACAGTTTCAAATGTATGGCTACACTTTCTGGCAGTGGTACGGGGATCCTTAAACCTTATAGTAATATGTTGTGTGCCGGCAATCAGGTGAAATATGAGAGACATGCAGGGGAAACAAATCAGTTTTAGGCCAAAAAACGAACCAAGGATAATAGGTATAGATTGCATGGGCATGCAGTGAGAGGTCAGGTCCCCTGACATTAATCTAAACAGATTGAAGTGTAGAGCTATATGTAATGTATGTTCTGTCCTTGGGGAGATTCACGAGGATGTAAGTCCGTACCTGTCTATCAGTCTGTAGGTAATACTGTAATATAACAAGATTTTATAGGGGCTATATCATTGTCTGACTGTTGACTTACATCCTTGGCCCTATCTGTTTGTGATAAGGCAAGTACTAATAAAGATATCACACAATATATATATACACCTACATGCATTACAAGTCCAAGATTGAGACATTTTTGCCTACCTACAGTACTGTAAGAAACGTATGCTACAAGATTTAGCTTTAAGACATGCATCTACCATGGGGAAATTAAAATGTAATTTTAAGTACCCAATTAGATATTTTACAAAAGAAATATGTCATAATATTTGGTTATACAGTACTTATTATTATCCCCCGCTTTCACCGAAACGGGGATATTAATTTGGGCCTGTCCGTCTGTCTGTCTGTCTGTCTGTCTGTCACCATGGTTCGCACAGCCTTGAAAAGTATTTGAATTTAGAGAGGGGCCTTTAAAAGTCCTTGAAAACGGTTTTTGGCCTTGAACCTCCTTGAATTTAGCTAAAGGGTCTTGAAAAGTCCTTGATTATTACAAATTCAATAATTTCGAATGTTTATTGCGTCTCATATAAATAAATAAAAAGCGTTAATTTTCGCAAACTTTGTGCTATACAGCGTCATTGGGTTAAAAATTTTGGGTTCCGATCCGGGCTTTAGTCACCATCACTGCGTGAGTGAAGGGAAGTAATTCAATCTACGCAGGCATGATGCGCAGTGTACATATACATCCGTCTGTTGATTCCATGTGGGCGAGTCATGATCATAATTACGTAGTAATTATTGTATATACAACAGGAAGTGGGAGGGGACTTAACTGGGCCAGGGAAGTTAAATGTGACCGTTTGAAAGCTCACTGTTCGTTGTTCCAAAAATATTGATCTCAGGAGGAATGTGAGAGTCGGCATTGAAAAGTCACGTGAAAGGTGTGAAACATCAACATACTCAGGGCGTCATATATTTAAAAAACAACAACATTACTTAGCATGAAAGTTGGGAAAACTGAATCGGACTGAATTGGACCAGGATATTAACGATCTTAGAAAAAAACTAAAGGAGTCCCAACAGGACCAAGAACAGCAGATGTGTTTGCCCTGAGGGCGGAGACAGGGTAATCTTACCAACTAGTCCCATTCTAATTCCCTTTACAAGAGTGCAAAAAAAAAAGGTAAACAGTGCAAAAGCTCTACCAACTTGATTGAAGAGAAAGTAAATGCTCTAAAGGACTGTTGATCTAGAGAACACAAACCAAAGCATTATTAAAACATCTGAATTGATTTATTGGTTATATTGTTTGTAGTCATAGACTGTAGATTCAAATTTTGTATATACAAGGACCTAATATTTCGTGTAAAAATTGCCTTGAAAAAGGTGAAAAGGTCCTTGAAAAGTCCTTGAATTATGTTTGAAAAAGTTTGTATGAACCATGGTCACGCTTCGTTTCCTTGCAATAACTACAACAAATATTAACCGATTTTCTTCAAACTTGGTCACAGGGTTAAATGCCTTAAGGGCTCGGCCATATTTGATGATCAATTTCAGCGGACCCCATTTGGTGGAGTTATGGCCCCTTGAATAATGAAAACGTCATTATCTGCTGCGCTTCGTTTCTGTGCAATAACTACAACAAATGTTAACCGATTTTCTTTAAACTTGGTCACAGGGTTAAATGCCTTAAGGGCTCGACCGAGTTCGATGACAACTTGCAGCGGAAACCATTTGGCAGAGTTATCGCCCCGTGAATAACGGAAAACGTCATTATCAGCCGTTTCTGTTCATTAACTTTCGCAAATGTTATCTGATTGTTTTCAAACTCAGTAACCGGGTTCAACGCATTAAGGGCTCAACCAAACCTGACAAGTTTGCCAACCGATGTGATTTGTGCAGATTTACGGATAATTAATGAGGTATAGGGCATTTTTAGGTCACCTGAGCTTTAGCTCAAGTGACCTATTGCTATCCGTTTTCGTCCGTCGTCGTCCGTCGTCCGTTATCATTTTACATTTCAAACTTAAAGTCAAGTTCTGCTGGGCCGATTGAACTGAAAGTTGGTAGGAATGATTTCCTTATGGTCCTGACAAAGTGTTGTTATTTTTAGGGTCAATCAGAAATACAATTTGGCTGCCATAGCCGCTATTTTGCTACTAAGTTCTAATAGGCCGATCTCACTTAAAATTGCACTAGGAATGATCAGCTCATCTTTCGCAAATGTTATCTGATTGTTTTCAAACTCAGTAACCGGGTTCAACGCATTAAGGGCTCAACCAAACCTTACAAGTTTGCCAACCGATGTGATTTGTGCAGATTTACGGATAGTTAATGAGGTATAGGGCACTTTTAGGTCCCCTGAGCTTTAGCTCAAGTGACCTATCGCTATCCGTTTTCGTCCGTCGTCGTCCGTCGTCCGTCGTCCGTTATCATTTTACATTTCAAACGTAAAGTCAAGTTCTGCTGGGCTGATGCTGAAAGTTGGTAGGAATGATCGCCACATGGTCCTGACAAAGTGTTGTTACTTTTCGGGTCAATCAGAAATACAATTTGGCTGCCATAGCCGCTATTTTGCTACTAAGTTCTAATAGGCCGATCTCACTTAAAATTGCACTAGGAATGATCAGCTCATGGTCCTGACAAAGAGTGGTTATTTTTCGGGGCAATCAGAAATACAATTTGGCTGCCATAGCCGCTATTTTGCTACTAAGTTCTAATAGGCCGATCTCACTTAAAATTGCACTAGGAATGATCAGCTCATGGACCTGACAAAGTTAAGTTAACATTATAATCTTTTTTACTCAAATTGGTACATATTTCAACAACACCATGGTCACGCTTCGTTTCCTTGCAATAACTACAACAAATGTTAACCGATTTTCTTTAAACTTGGTCACAGGGTTAAATGCCTTAAGGGCTCGACCGAGTTCGATGACAACTTGCAGCGGAAACCATTTGGCAGAGTTATCGCCCCGTGAATAACGGAAAACGTCATTATCAGCCGTTCCTGTTCATTAACTTTCGCAAATGTTATCTGATTGTTTTCAAACTCAGTAACCGGGTTCAACGCATTAAGGGCTCAACCAAACCTGACAAGTTTGCCAACCGATGTGATTTGTGCAGATTTACGGATAATTAATGAGGTATTGGGCATTTTTAGGTCACCTGAGCTTTAGCTCAAGTGACCTATCGCTATCCGTTTTCGTCCGTCGTCGTCCGTCGTCCGTCGTCCATTAACATTTTACATTTCAAACGTAAAGTCAAGTTCTGCTGGGATGATGCTGAAAGTTGGTAGGAATGATTGCCTTATGGTCCTGACAAAGTGTTGTTATTTTTAGGGTCAATCAGAAATACAATTTGGCTGCCATAGCCGCTATTTTGCTACTAAGTTCTAATAGGCCGATCTCACTTAAAATTGCACTAGGAATGATCAGCTCATGGTCCTGACAACGTTAAGTTAACATTATAATCTTTTTTACTCAAATTGGTACATATTTCAATAACAAAAATAAATACTGTAGACTCAGGTGACCGTTAAGGCCCATGGGCCTCTTGTTTCTTCTTCAAGTTTCTTAAGGAGTAAAAAAAAAATTACTGTTAGGGTCAATGGTACCAGCAAGCTAAATAGTGTATAACTACCATTGTCACTACTGTGAATTAAATATTACTAGCCAAACATCCATGGGGAAGATTCTACATGCTCAAAATGAAAAACATAAATAAAATGTGCATATCTACCCAATAAGGGTCAAATAACCCTTTAATATGATTTACTTCAAGTAATTCTTGCAGATGAATCATAAGATCATAGATTATAGGAATATTTTAGCAAATTCACCGGTTGGAAATGCGAAATGTTCATGTAAGTGCCCAAAATCGGGAGTCTCCTTCCTAAATAGGGAGGTACGGAAAGTATGGGGACATATTGGTGTAAAACCTGTTATAATCTATGCCAGAAAAAGTCCTTTTACTTTGTAGAGGGGACATAATAAAAAAAAATCACAGTAGAACATAATTGTTTTGGTAATTTTGAAAAAAATGTGCAGTGATTTGGGGGAAATTCCAGCTTCAATTATTTAGCGGGAAGGAGCTGAACTGGGCCCAAAATGTACAAAAAATAAACAAATGCCATTATGAAAGTATTTGAGGTTCTCTTGACAAGCTGTTCAGGTGCTGGGATTTTTCTATTTAATGATTCTTACAGTGCCAAATAATAATTACGAAACATAAAAAAACTGTATTTGTTTTTTTCAGTCAATTTACGCGAGGTGAAGGAAGTGCGAGCAGGGAAGAGTTCACGAGATTTCGACAAATGGCCAGACGATACAAGAAAAGCAGACGCCAACCTGTGTTTTATACTTATGTATGGCAATGACTTCAAGCTGAAAACTCTATCTGTTGTTGGTAGGTCGAGAATGATCTAACATTTAAGGATTCAATATTTTAGAAATATCCAAGCATAAGGGAATCCCATTAACATTGAAAGTAGGACCAAAAGTGAAAAATGTAATATCCGTACGCGTTCATGTCTGAGGTGAAAGTACTGACATTCAACTCAAGGGGTTTTCAAATTTGATAAAACCCAAGACTTGCCAAGGGTTTTCCCACAATTTGGAAATCCTTAGGCATGCCATTTTGAAAATATTGCATGAACGTTTCTCTGAGATTTTCGGACAAAAAACGGTCAAGATTAAGCATACTCCATTTTGCCAAAATATGTGTTGCAGAAAATCTTTCTGATTTACAGTTAGTGTAATACATTATAATTTGTTTTAATTTCATTACATCTTCTATTTGTTCATCATGGCCTTGGAATTAATTTCCGAATTACTGATGTCTCATGACATCACTGTAAATCCCGTTGTAATGTCACATGACACCACTGTAAATCCCGTTGTAATGTCACATGACACCACTGTAAATTCCATTGAGATGTCAGGTGACATCACAGTAGAGTCGTTGTAGTCCTATTGTGATGTCACACACAAATTATTCTCTCCTTTTCTGATATTTGCTATGTTTCCCATTAGTCCTAGTGACTTGGAAACAGTGATAACTTTTACATGAGTATACTTCGATGTTTTCTGTTGGCAGCGTCCTCACCTGATGATTTTAGACGATGGAAGATGGGACTGGATTGGTTGGAAAAAAGTGCCAAAAACGCTCCCTATCAGCACCAACTAGAACGGTGATTAAATCCCACAGTTTAAACGTGTTCTGTACAAGTGATTAATAATGATATTCATGTTAAAAATAAGACTTCGATATAACTAAGGGTTATTTCAGTAAATAATTGAGGAAGAATGATCGGGGTGGTGTAGGGGTAGGGGATCAGGCATCCAGAGAGACAAGTTTTAGTGGCTAACCATAATTATTTGTTTCCTGAAGTCACAATACGGATACTACTACCTACATGTAATTATTTTAGACTTCAACATTCATGTTTATGTATCATCAATTGCTGTATCAAGTGCCTCCATGTCCTTTATAGCCCCCACATATTTCTTATTGTATTCTACATCCATGGTTTTACTAGATAAGTTATTGTAGAGGTTATTTTAATCAAGGTGATTTTTGTTGAAGGACATCTTTGTTATTTGTTAAATTTCTAGATGGCTGCGACGGGAGTTTTACCTCATTGACAAGGCTGGGAGTGATGTGTAAGTACATAACAATACTGCATTTATCTGGCAATAATGATCACATCTGGTCCATAGTGCATAAATCTTTAAAAGTCATCTTCTCAATAAACAAAAGGTATAAGGTGGTGATATTTGGCAAGTTGCATTCTGGGAGGCAGGGCTATGAAGTTTGTTCAACTTAATGTCCATGTTTGACTTTCAAGGTCACAGGGGTCAAATGTGTTTTAACCGTTTAACAGGTTCTTCAGAATGACTTGAAGTCAAGATACTGATATTTTGCCTGTAGCTTTATTTTAGTCCACTTTTAAGGTAACAATTGTGAGATTAATACCAGGTGAGCGATGCAGGCCCATTGGGTCTCTTGTTTCAATATTATTTCATGCTTCTTTTAGTTTTATAAGCATTTACACAATTACATATGGCTAAAGGTCACATGGATAATTAATTCATTGATAAATTACTCTGCAGTTGATGCAGCTAATGTCTTATGTATAATATATACAAAATACCACATGTTTAGTGTTCATCTGATATCTCTGGTTGCACAAGTGCAATGTGTGTATAGATCTATTTCACGAAGGCATTAGCTCAAGTGGAATATATCTGTACACTCAATGAACTCAATGCAATCGGAGACATCAGATAAACACATGTTTGGTATTGGTGTTGTTACGTACCTATAATTGTTCTTTTTGTGCATATCATATTTTCTTCCAAATATTACTCATCATAACCCTGTATTGATGTTAACTTTACTTTCTGGAAACTTAAACCAAGCAACAGTGCCACAAAAATAGTCATTGAGGACAGAATAACGACGTCCGGGGCCTGTATTCATGTGTCGACCCCCGGGGCCTGTATTCATGAAACCTGTTCTCATGCTCAAGCATAATTCCCGTGCTCAAGCCGAGTTTCTTGTAACCTGCTTAAATCATGTAACTATATAAATGGTCAAAAAGTCCAGTGTTAACACTGAAAACAGTAATCAACTTCGTCTTTATAAATGTCTTGCATATCATTTACAAAATATATTTTTTTATTTTTTTTATTTATCACTGGTCCTAGAAATTTGGGTTAATTCTTTCCTCGATTGTAAAATCAAAATTTGGCCTCCGAACCTTGACAAAGCCTTTGTTCTGATGCAAATGCTTCACACTCAGGTAGAAATTACCTATCATATCATAGACTGTTATTCTGGAGTATGTTTTATAATTAACTGTCAAGCTGTGAAGAAGAATTGTTTTGATTGTATACAATTGTATTTATTATTGTATTATTTTTACAGGCACAAAACGTAAATATTTTACCTTTTTTTTTCTGTACACAAGAAGTTGCTATTCAGAAATGTATAAGTTAACAGAATTTTAATCATGATTAAAGAGTTAGTTAAAAATGTGTATGCATGGCTAGAATTTACCATTAATATTTACTTAGTGTGTTAACCAATCTTATATTAAATGTCTTATGGGTTCTGTTTTCTCTCCAAAACAAAAAAATTATGTCTTTCTCGTGCATGCCTTATTCTAAATTACAATCGGCTTTAAAACTCAAGGGGCCGTGGTGGCCAAGTGGTTAAGGCATCTTACATTCTGCCTACACTAGACCTCCACCACTGGGTCGCAGGTTAGAGGCCTACATTGGGCAGTCGCCAGATGCTGGCCGTAGGTCAGTTGTTTTTCTCCGGGAACTCCGGCTTTCCTCCAGCATCAAAACCTGGCAAATCCTTTAATGATCATAGCTGTTAATAGGACGTAAAAAAAAAAAAACCAAAAAAGCTTTAGAACTAAAACCTCAAGTGGCCAGGGCCCAGTTGTTCAAAAAGTGATTAGGTTACATGTAATCACTTTTTATCAACGTTTTTCAACTTATAACAATTTTATCAATAGAAACGGTAATAAACTGGCAGTTTTTAACTCTGTTACTCAGGTTCTGTTTTAAAGATATACAAAAAATAAAATTTGATCTAATCACTGATAAAGCTTATCACCTTTTGAAGACTTGGCCCTGCAATGTAAATGAATTTGTTAACTTAAATTTAATATTTATATAAAGGCATCATCAATATGAACGCTGATATTGTAACAGTAGAAGATTTTTTAGAACTACCTGAAATATCCTGAACCATTTAATCAATGTTTGTGGTATTTGTATGGAATTAATATCTTCCTGAGTTGCAACAGCTGCAGGTGTTTGTACAATCATGGTCATCAATCTACTGATTTTTCATTATATTATTAACAAAGTAATTATTAATAATGCTCTCACATTTTTTATTGTTACCTGGTACAATCACTTGTCCCCCACCAGTACTGACAGAGGGGACTTTAGATTTGCATGCATTCCTTCTCTCTGTCCATCTGTCCATCATCTGTTTGAGTCAAATTGTCAGGGGCATATCTCAAAATCTCTTTTCACAAGATTGGAATGGTGGAGAATCAAGTCTTGTGCTCCACTGTACGAAGTCGATGTTTATTACTTTGTACAGGGACCTAGACTCCTGCCTATTTACAGAGTTATGGCCCTTTGTTGGTTATGTGTTACTACATCCAGGGCATATATAGTACAAACTCTGTCACCTACCATTTCCAGATTGCTGCTAACCCTCGCTCCTTTTTTTTTCTTTGCAGCAAGATAAAACAAGCATTTCGGATTTTTTTTTTACATAGCAAAAATTATTAACTTTCCATTTTTACCACACTCTGGGTGTGAAATGTGTAAAAGATATGAATGAAAATTAAATTTTCTTTTCTTATGTGGCGTACAAACCTCAATGATTTACATAATGTCAGGCATGCCCTGATTGGCCCTTTAAAATGACGATATTTCTTGTAAAATTCTGGCATATTACAATGATTTCTTGTTTATACTACTTCTGTGAATTATAAAGTGGTTTAGCAAACTAAGTGACATAATATATCTCGTATAAGCATTACCTCTGACCCATTCTGACAAAAAGTTGCCTTTCGTGAACCCTGTTCAACGGACATCTCATGAATTCTCTTATGCATGATAATAACGCAAACATGGCCTCAATCCTTCCCCTGGTGAGATACGTAGCAGTTGATAATTGGCATTGCACACTTATATGTACTTGACGTAAATATAAGTCAGTTGAATTTTAAACTTTTTCATACCAATAAACTTAAATATTTAACATGAAATTTTATGATTTCAATTTTAACTGCAGTTTTACAGACAGATTGCAGTAAGGTAAATGCAATTGTTGCAAGAATTTGAGCAAAAAACCAAAATTTAGGGAGTTCCGCTGATTTAGGGAGTTCCGCTGATTTAGGCAGTTCTGCTGATTTAGGGAGTTCCGCTGATTTAGGGAGTTCCGCTGATTTAGGAAGTTCTGCTGATTTCACACGCCGAAAATAAGGGAAAAATTAAAAGTCTCTATCCAAAATCGTAAGACATTGCGAATGTGTATACTGCTTCATTAGAACTGTTTTCAGAACTAGAATACCTATATATACATATATAAAGTCATATGGTGTACCATGCTGCTAGATTAATTACAAACTGTAAACTTACGCTAGTCCTTGTAAACATACNGGGGGGCATATAGTGTTTCCTTTGTCCATCCCATCCCATCTAATCAGGGTTCAGTGGCATCATTGCAGTGTCTTCACTTAATATAAACTTTACACAAAGGTCACAAACAAACAAATTTGAATGAGTTTTTCATATTATCAAGATAATTTAAAGGCAAAGGTCACCTGAACTATTTATAGAATTTGTCAACTAGTTCAGTTACATCACTTTTGATTAAACATTAGATTTAAAGGACAACTATGAAAATACCTTAAAATAATTTGTATTTCAGGGTTCAAAGGTGAAGACCAAGATCACCATTACTATTTACAGAAATGTGTAGAACAGTAATTTACTTTTTTGTATAAGTGTATAGGGACATTCATGACTTACAAGAAAATTCTAGTTTGTTTCGTGCAAAGACTGTCTATGCATATGAGTTCAAGGGAGACAATTACCTAAACAATAAAAACCAAGCTTTCAAAAACGTCAAAATCAGAATTTCAGTTTGACAATAATCAATAAAGTGGGAAAAGAAAGAAAAGATATGACAATGTTTCTCCAATACTGGTGGATATTTTAGAGGTATGTTAATGATAAGACCAGATCTTTATTGTAGGATTGCTATAAAGGGGAGTTTATGATGTATGGACATCAACAGTGGAACTCTCTAGTGTTTGTACCTGCAGAGGGACAGGAATCCTTAATACCATTATTTGTGTGTGAAGATCTGATGATGCAGCATTACGGGGTCATGTTCTTTGACCTTTTTTAAACTCCGACAATAAATAGGATGTAAAGGGGTCATGCTCTCTGACCTTTTTACACTCAGATAATAAATATGATGTCAAGGGGTCATGCTTTGTAACCTTTTTAAATTTGCACTCAAACAATTAATATGGTGTCAAGGGGTCATGTTCTGTGACCTTTTTACACTGACAATTAACTCATTCACCCCCTGAAGACACATTTGAACTCTTCCAATTAAAAGGTTGGAATAATTCATTGTGAAATTTCAGGGGTGAATGTTCTGTGACTTTTTTACGCTCGGACAATAAGTATGACACCCTCAAAACACAGGTGTGTAAATAAGTATTTGGCCATAACATAAAAGAACACAAGGCCTTGACCCCCCAATACGATGTTCTCAGATCTTGTAACATGTAGCCTATCATTGCTGGTTAAGGAGCTGATTAGTAGTCGGACAGACCTTTGCCATCTATAAGATGTGCTATAAGATGTGCTTATCAAAACACAAACTGCTTGCAAAGATAACAAATATAATTTTATCAAGCTGCTTTTCTGCAAATGGTAAGTTTATGACCTGGATAATGTAATGTACTGCCTATTTAAACAATCTTAATTCTTAATCACAGTCAGAAGGTTAAGTAAAGAATGATAACAACCTAAGGGTGCTGTTTCTGGTAACATGTTTATGTCCACCGGTCAAAATATTTTTATTATATTGATTTGAAACACCTACCTCTTCGTTCTTGGAAAGCTGTTATGTGTAATGGAGGATTTAAGTATTTAACTTCCTAATCCATTGAAAATATTTGCAAAACTTTGTATTTTGTTACATTAATTGTTTAATTAATGTAACAATTAATCAGTGTATCACATTGTAACCAACTGTTTAATAATTTTTACATCGTTTGCACGAAAATGAGTTATTGAGTCACAACCCTTTATAGGGGCCCTGCATTAGAGATGCAGGTGCTCCATAGCTATCATTGTGTCCGCCTCACCATCTGTCTGTCCTTCTATCCATCCGTTCGTCCGTCCACACTTTTGTTTCCTGAGATGACTTATTCCTGTGATACACTGTGATTTAAAGATGTGCAATAGGGATTTCAAAATTTTCTAAAGTCAAGGTCACTGTTACTAAAAATAGACCATGGAGTTATGATCCTTATCTTGGAATCTATTTGAAATTTGATATGTTGATACGCTAATATTTCAATGAAAAATTTTAAAAGTTTTTGAGGTCAAGGTCACTGTTACTTAAAATGAACCATTGTGGGGCATATAGATGGGGCCTGGCCTGTCTGTGTTCTAGATTCCTTCAAGTGCCTACGGTGAGAAAATTGAACCCACAGTACACTGGTATAGATTCCCATCAATCCAGCCATCCTTTATCCTGTTTTTGTCCTGCAATATAGAGCCACGTTTTTTTGGGGACAGATTGTACTTTTTAGATGGTTCCAGGATCACGAAGTTAAATCTGATGAAAAAAAAATCTCTCTAATCTCTCTAGGAAATAACTTTCAAATGTGAAAAAAATATTCATTTGTACAATATTTAAATAGTATCATATTTTGATAAGGAAAACAATGATTTTTCATGATATACCTAGGCCAAGTGTGTCATGATCCATCTACATGTGCGATAGAGGTAACAGTTGTCACAGCTCTAGTGTATTTTACAACTGTATGTATATCTGAGTTTGTATTTACAGAGTGACTTTAAAAACCATGAAGGCCTGGATGCAGCGAGTGAACACAAAGATTCAGACCAATAAACTCAGGGAACGTTTCCAGGCAAGTAGGCCAATTCAGTTATTGCCAAGACTGTCCTAAGAAACGCTACCCTTAAAAGGAAGTCAGGAAAGAAATTGCATGGTTGCTCACTTAATAAAAAAATAAAAAGGAAAGATGCATTTCAATCGGTGATGAATTATTGCATGATTCTATTGAACTTAAAGTTATGCAATATATTATCATCAGGAGTTGGTCATCCTTGTTCAATAATATAATTTTCAAAAGTTGGTAATTCTGCAATTCCGTCTTTGCGTACTGCAGAGTTATCTTCTCTTGTGAGCAGGTATTAATTGTTACGTCATTGGTTAGTGTGAGAAAAATACATCGTTTTCTCAAAAATTGATGACACAATCAATACCTGCTCACAAGAGAAGATAACTCTGCAATACACAAAGACAGAATAGATTAAACTGTTTCTGAACTTTAGATATTGTTTCTAGTTAATTGATTGGTTATTTCAAAAATTGAATATTGTTTATACTTATTCCATAACTAATTAAAATTAAATTGAAAATTGTATACTGTTAAAAAGTAACTAGCCAAATTAAAGTTAGAATACTACGGGGTATGTTGTTTAAACTGTATTGTTTATAATCACTACCAGTAATTGAAATTAAATTGAACTTATTATTTACACTAGTTTTAATTAAATTAAAGATGAACTATTGTTTACACTCACAAATCAATTTCATTTACAATAATTAAATTGGAAATGATCCATTGTTTAAACTTATTTGAATTAGGATTTTAACCAATAAAAATTAGTACAAATATGATGGTTAACACTTATTAAAATGAAATTAAAGAATATATATATTGTTGGAAAAAAATTAATCAAAATTGAATTTAAAAATATTACAATTTTTAGCACTTACTATTTTAAAATGATTAAAAAAAACCTATCTACGTGTATATTTATTTACAAAACAGCTATGTTATGTATAAACTTTGATTGTAGGAAATAGTAGAAGAAGGTGGGAAAGAAGAACTGGTGTTTGAACAGTTCGCGCTGCTGTTTCACCGACTTGTGTTTGTACCGGTGGTATGTATATAGAAATTTTACTTACCGTATTTACTGTAAAAAGTGTCCCTTCCTTCATTTTTATGAAAAAAATTATCAGCTGTCTGCTTACATTCCTGGGAGCAAAACATATTGGTTTGTGAAAAACTGTTATTCACTGAAATCTTTGATTATAAAACATTATTAATTCTAAATTAGTGATTTTTAATGGATTTATTTAGATACGTTTTGTCTGCGTAAAAATAAATTAAGTACAAATTAACACTGGTTTTCCTTCTTTTCACAGATTATAAGCAATTATGTAGAATTTTACTTAGATACTCCAAAGAGGTAAGTGTTGGCAATATAGAGTTTTTAAATGCTTTACCATAATATTTGATTTTGAAGGAACAAGCTTGTTTGAGTTTTATATAAAACAGACAAAATATTAATAAGTCTTGAAATATGTTTTATTTTGTAATTTTGCCTATATAAAAATAGCACATTTTGATACAAAATTAGGTTATTTTTTCAAAAATAAATGTAGCATTGGTTTATATAGGCGGATTGAGTGCTTTGTTATGTTATAATATTTAATACAAATATGTGAAATAAAGATTGTAAATTCATTTTGGTGATCAAATTTGTTTTCAGAGTTGTACCTCCAGAAAAATTTCAGCAGTTTTTAAAACATGAACAAAAGGTAAGGCGGTCACAGTTTTACTTTCCTTCACTCATTCACCCATGAAATTTTACTATGAATTATTCCAACCTTTTAATTGGAAGAGTTCAAATGTGTCCTCAGGGGTGAATGAGTTCAGTTTTTATCTCATTTTGAGCAAGACTTTGATGAAGAATTATCTGTTTATTTGAGATAAGTCCAACTGCCCATTCCACTTGTCTGGTGTGTTTGCTTTTTGGTGATTACATATTCTATATAATTTCACAAGCCATATTCCTCCGTTCCTTCAGTTGTTCAATGCAAGAAAAAATCAGAAATTTAAATTTAAATCCAGTTTTAAATTCCTGCGGGTAATATGTTTAATTGACACATATGATAAAAGGGCGGGTACATACCTAGTATGTTCCTGTCTATTTCTCACGGCACTAATATCAATATTATTTGAATGGATTTTCAATTCATTTCAGTAAAATTGTATGAAAATTATTTTATTTGCATAAATCTTGCACTCATGTGCAAACAAGAAAGAAAAAATACATAACCCACAATTTTACTCGTTTGTTTAAAAGACAAAACAGATTTCCCATTTCTAAAGATAGTCTGCGAATTCTCTACAGATAGTCAGCGAATTTCAAAAGAAATTTTCAGTTGTAAAAAATTATATATAGCCCGTGGTATATACGCGAAATTACGTAACAACATAAGGCAGCTCAACTATTGTTTTACTTTATACTTTATATCTTGTTGATATTAAAATTTGTTGTTTTTCTGAGATTAATCATGTTTCTCAAGGGTAGTCATGATGAAGTATATTAAGCTTTTTACGATGTATTTCGTTGATTTTGAATATATTACCATTGTTCTGTTACAACCGACTGATAATAATGTCTGATATTTCAGGAAAGCTTTGCTGACAACCTTGTTTCTGTGAAAGAGATGATGGTGAAGTTCCTCGCCGATCCAATCCGTCACAAAAACAATGTATACTTCACAGATATGGAGGTAGGTCCGATATTCAACCCTATATAACTTACTTAGATAACAGAATATTTCCTGTGTGTAGGTTTAATTTGCATAAAGCTTATAGTATGTCATTTTAAAATTTTGCAATTAACTGGAGCACTAGCCGGGAAATTTTGATAAAAATATTAAGTTTTGTGTGCAATTGAGAATGCGACTTTGTGAAATCATATTTGTAAAGTTAGTTCCCATTTCAAAAGCTTTCTCCTTATGACTTTGAAAATCAAATACTGTACAAAATTCACAAATCATTCTGATGTAAGGATAAAGAAACAAAGTTGACTTGTGTTGCACTGTTTAAGAAAATTCTTCTGTCGAATATGGTGTGTTTAAATGAAACATGTTTTTGCCAAAAATAAATAAAAAAAATCAGCATTTGTTATATGTTTTTATCTTGATTTGCATATATGACCTCTCCCATCCAAGCTGATTTTGACATCATATCTGATTGTTTCTCTTGAGGCAATTGTATTGTTTCCTTCTACGTAATTTCTGTCATGCCCTAGGGGGCGACAGAAAAATCTTGTCCTAGGGGGTAACAGAGAAGTCATACCCAAGAGGGCGACAGAGATATCTTATCCTAGGGGGTAACAGAGAAGTCATACCCAAGGGGGCGACAGAGAAATCTTATCCTAGGGGGTAACTGAGAAGTCATACCCAAGGGGGCGACAGAGAAATCATATATAACATATATCCTAGGGGGTAACAGAGAAACCATACCCTAGGGGGTAACAGAGAAACCATACCCTAGGGGGTAACAGAGAAATCTTACCCTTGGGGTCGATAGAGAAATCTTTTTCTATGGGGTAACAGAGAAGTAGATACCCTAGGGGATAATACAGAAGTCATACCTTATGGGAGGAGGGGCGACAGAGAAATCATATCCTAGGAGGGTAACAGAGAAATTATACCCCAGGGGGTAACAGATAAGTCATACCCCAGGGGGTAACAGAAACGTCATAACCTAGGGGTTAACAGAGAAGTCATACCCTTGGGGACAACAGAGAAATCATCACTCACAGGTAAAACGAGACTTAAGTCTGTGAATGGAGGCAGAGTAACACATAAAAACATGGGGATTAACAGTAATGTATGTCCGTTACTTTCCTTACAGTTTGAAGACTACCTGTTCTCCAAAGACAACACAATCTGGGACGAGAAGCACGACATGATCAACCAGGACATGACACAACCTCTGTCCCTGTACTGGATAGCCTCCTCCCACAACACGTATATATACACTTCTGTTACATTTTTACCAGTGAAACCAGGGGTTTATCAGGGAGCCTTTTAGGTCCTTTTAAAGAGTTAATTCCTAATTGACATGATATTTCCAAATCAGCCGAAATAAATTTTCTAATTGGAATTCTTTTTTAAAATGCACCGTACTTGTACTGCTATAAGCCCATGCCAGGGTGCCAACACATAACCCCTGACTGAAAGTAGGGGGTGGGCTTATTACAGGACAATGACAAAGCTATTGTTGGCATTTCTTACTAACAATATATATTTATGGGATTATTACTAGATGAATAGATATATACATTATGTATCAATTTCAATAATTTCCCTGTTATTGACTGTGTAAGAAAGACAGAATGATAATGTTTTCATAAAGATCAGCTTAAATAAAGGTTAAACAATCTAATTTCATGTATTCAGAGTTGTTATAATAATCATCTAAATTTCCAAAAAGGGTTCTTGTTTCAATTATATTTTCGCAATTTCATCCCAGAGTTTGTTTCCAAAAAAACCCTGATAAGATCCTGAAAATTTCAGAAATTATCAATAAGATAAAAAGGTATATCTCCCCTGCAAAGATGTATGACATGCTTATCTTCTCCTATAATGATATAAGATCCAATATCAATTCTATATTGACCAATCAGAAGGATATTTTCTATTTACTGTTCTCAAAGCCACAGATTTCATCAACTGTGACGTCACAACTAGGACAACCTTATGACGTCACAAACTTCCAATTACGTCGTTATATATATCAGAAAATAAAAAAGCTGGAAGTAAAAATGTCAATACTTAAAGATTTCAAGTCTGCCTGAAAAGGATCTTTTCAGAAATATTTGCAACAAATCTTGATAGTGTGATAATCAGAATCTTATATTTGCCTCCATTTTATATGAGTTTTAGGGAACCTATCACACTTTTTAAATGAACATTTTTGTTCCTTTGTTAGAATCATGCTGGCATTGTGTAGCTCAGCTGATGCCCATATGCTGAAATAACCACTCAGCACCCTCTATTTGTCATAAGTTTATATCTTCCTTAAAAAAAAAAAATCACATTCTAAAAACTACAATCAATGAAAATGAGTTCTAATGGAGTTGCTGAATTCTTATTGATCTCAAGAGTTTTCATTACCTGTTTTTTTATCACAATAAACTGGATATTTTAGCCATTCCATAAAAAACGATAGTTCCATGCATATATTAGTCACCTAAACAGAGGTCAACTACTTATGCATATCTGCACCACAGACTTGTTAAAATGTGACAATTCTTAGATACAAATTTCATAAATATCATATGAATTAGCTCCAACCGTAAATGTGGAAATTGATTTCTTGTTGTAATACATTTTGATCTACGCCATAAGGCTGAAAAGTGTAATTGTCTGCTACATGTAAAATTATCTGCATGAAATATAACTTAGAAATATTTCATATGTTTTAGTGTCAGAGGTTCATAAAAATTACACCATCTTAAATTTTTTTATGCAAGTGAAATGGTAAAATTAACTCCTTCACCCCTGAAATTTCATAATGAACTATTCCAATCTTTGAATTTGAAGAGTTCAAATGTCTCACAGGGATGAATGAGTACATGGTAGAACTTTTTTAACATTTCATTCTCTTGTCTGTTGTACAGATACCTAACAGGGGACCAAATATCAAGTGACTCGTCGGTGGAAGCCTACGTACGCTGTCTCCGTATGGGATGTCGGTGTATAGAGTGTAAGTGGGAAATACATTTTGATCCTCAACAATAACCAGTTAGAAAACGTTTTAGCTTACCGGCTATTTATAGTCTTGTCTTGATCGACTATGTAGTAATACAGTAATTAAGATAAAACAATGAAAATTGAATTTTGATTTCACAGTCAGTGCTTAGGGCTGTTCCAGAATTTACCTTAGGGGAGGGGTGGGAGGCATGTTTTTCAGAAATCCCACCACCCATTAAACATTAAGAGTATTTAATATAAGGAATGTAGGCAGGTCTGGTTTTAACCCCACCACCCAAAATATATTAATACATATACAGGTGCCACCCACCTCCCCCATATGATAAATTATGGAATAGTCTATTCCATATTGGGTATTTTATGAAAAAATTACATTCCATAGTTTAATTTGTATTCATTTGAATTAAGGGAAAACAAATCTATATTAGAATTCAACTGGAATAATTTGGTCAAAGTTGAATCTTGATTAAGATGTGTTCCTGATTGTTAGTAACTATGTGTTTCTGATTGTTAGTAACTATGTGTTCCTGACTGGTAGTAACTATGTTATTGTTAGTAACTATGTGTTCCTGACTGGTAGTAACTATGTGCTCCTGACTGTTAGTAACTATGTTATTGTTAGTAACTATGTGTTCCTGATTGTTAGTAACTGTGTTCCTGACTGTTAGTAACTATGTGTTCCTGATTGTTAGTAACTATGTGTTCCTGATTGTATCTTTCACAGTGGACTGTTGGGACGGTCCGGATGGTTACCCAAGTATATACCATGGTCACACACTGACATCACGGATACGATTCCTCGACGTTCTCAAATCAATCAAGGATCACGCCTGGGTCGCATCAGAGTATGTATTGTTGGCAAGAATTGGTTTAGATTTTTAGCGAAATATTCAAATTTGGTTGAGTTGTAGGAGGTCCAGCCTACTAAAATCACAATCTTAAAAAATGAAAATAATATTGATGGAAGGCATCAGTAAAATGTCATCAGATTAACAAATTAAAGATTCAACTTCATGCTATCACTGAGAAGTGGCATGGGCCATATTGTGTTGCTCTTGTCTGAACGTCGGATTTGTAAAACTTTCAAGTTTAGGTCAGTTACGGACAAAGTACTGCAGCCAGGGTAGTCAACTTCAGAATGCATTATCATTATGAAACCAATTAAAAAAAAATATTCATGAAGGATTTTATATATATATTGTCATCTTGATAACCTCTAACATTTCTAAGAATAAAAAAGAATTTATCTTTGGTATATATTAAGTAAGGGTAAGATCAACATTCTATTTGTGTTTAAGTTCTGTCATGAATTTTGTTTCAGGTACCCACTTATTCTGTCCATAGAAAACCATTGTTGCCTTGGTCAGCAACGAAACATGGCCATGGCCTTTAAAGACACATTCGGCGGTAGGTGTTGAACTGTAGATGGACTTTCGTCAATATCACATGGCTGTGAAGTCTAGCCATTTTAAGCTAGTGTGAAGCTGTGTTATTTATATTTTATGAGAGGAATTTTGGAAATCTTTGAATACCATTGTAAACATGATCAACAAAGGATTTTGGTTGTTTGTTCCGAATTTTGGTCTCAGGATTTATGACAAGAAATTGTTCAGACGTAGCTATATAGACTCACAATTTAAAATAATAATGTGCAATATGACCTATTCAGAAATTTCTGAAATGTAAGGGAAGGATTTATCAACCCTGGCAGCTTCTTTAGTTTTGCTGGGAAAAAAAATCTATTTTGGACCAGGGGGAAAATTAAGAAGGGTATACAAAGGTGTAATATGCAAGAGTTGTCTGCCCTTTGTTTTACAGCTGACCTACTGGTGGAGCCGGTAGAGGGAGACCCCAACCAGTTGCCTTCTCCAGATAAACTCAAACGCAAAGTCATCCTGAAGGTAAACAACCCTCATGATAATGCAATATGATTTCAATCTACAGGATAACATGATTACACCTGGTACCATGTTGTTTCAGTGACATTAAAAAAGCATGAATCAGCCTGCTCCATGCCACTCTGTGATCATATGAGGCGACAAATTTGGTAATGTTTTCAAATTTTGGGGATTTTTTTCTTTGTCGAGTAATGTTTTTGGATGTGTCCTTGTGGGCTTTACGCAAAAAAATATATTTGGTTCCTATTTCCAAGGTCTACTTAGCAGAATCACTGCCTCTCAGGATGCTTAGGGACACAAGTGCAACAGGCCTGGATTTTTAATTTTTCAGGAATGCAAAAACAATCATTGTGTGTCCTGTTCTTGGGGACACTGAGACAAACTTTATTTGCTGCCCAGTGTGAAAAAGTATGGAGGCACGGTAGTCTAGTGGTAGGATGCCGGGCTCGTGACCGAAGGGTTGCAGGTTCGAGTCATGTCACAGCACTGTGTGGTATCCTTGATCAAGATACTTCACTCCTCTTGTTCCAGTCTACTCAGCTGTAAATGAGTACATGGTTGGGCAGTGCTGGAATTGTTGAATGCTAGCTGTGAACCCCAACTGGCAGCACCAGCTGTATTCTCCCCAGGGAGTAAAGAAAGATATTGGCTGTTGCAAAGGCCCTACAACCACCGAAAAATAATTTGTGAACGGCTTTGAAACAACCTACGAACTAGGTTGTGATAAAGCGGTAAAGAAAAACCTCAAATTATTATTATTATAAACACTTGGGATCTCTTTTCTTTGCTCTCCATTTTGTTCTTTCCTTTTATAGTAATATCTCCATAGGCACCTTCAGTAACTTGTCAGAATAAAGTGACTGGGTGAGGTGATGGACATTGTTTGTCATGTCCGTATAGGGGCACAAAAAAAATGGTCTTGAATTGGCCCACTGCAGATGGACACTTTTTTTTATATGATTAAAGCTTTGACAAAGTGTAAATCTTTAAGAAATAAGGAAACGGATGCCTATTGGTCATTTCTTATGTTTCCTTTTTTTAGCCCACCATCATCTGATGGTGGGCTATTCAAATCACCCTGCGTCCGTGGTCCGCCGTCCGTCCGTCCGTAAACAATTCTTGTTATCGGTATTTCTCAAGAAGTACCAGAGGGATCTTTCTCAAATTTATATGCAGGTTCCCCTTGGTCCTTAGCTGTGCAGGGCAACTTTTGAGACTGATCGGATAAACAACATGGCCTACAGGCAGCCATCTTGGATTTTGATAGTGAAAGTTTGTTATCGCTATTTCTCAAGAAGTACCTAAGGGATCTTTCTCAAATTTTATACGTAGGTTCCCCTTGATCCCTCGTTGTGTATGTTATATTTGAGACTGATCATAAAAACAAAATGGATTAAAAGAAGAACTAAACAGATCTTTCTCATATTGCAATGATTGATTCTATTTCTTTCACATTAAGTACTGTACTAGTAAATATGTGAAATGACAAACACACTTTGAAGGTTGGCTTTCATACACATCAGTATTAAGTTAAGATCAAAAGTTACCTCAAGGTGCATTTACTGTTAACATGACTCGATCAAACAGATTAGAGGAAAGAAGAGAAAAGATCGAACTGACAACGAACTAATGAAGATGGTACAAAGGTGGGCGCCAAGATCCCTCTGGGATCTCTTGTTTTAGCATAGAAATCTCACAAGATGCACAAGTCTGAGATTTTTTGACTGTACACTATTGATAGTGAAATGAACTTTTCATTGTAGTCTTGTTGTTTCCTTTTTTTTTAAATTCAAGATGTAAGATTTCTTTCTTTAACAATGCAAAGACACGTAAAACTTGTATTCTACCATTGACACTGGTGTTTTAAATTTCAGCATAAAAAGTTGGATCTTCCCAAAGATGGAGGTGCAGCAGAATGTGTTGTGGACAGAGTGGATGAAAGTAAGACCACCCTACTTTCTTATGATGTAGATACATTGTATATTTGTATTATTTTGGATCTTTATCGATCATATGAACTCTATTTAAAACTTTTGGACAAGTTCTATGATTAAATATGCAATTAAAACAAACTAAGGATAATTTTCAACGTGGTATAAAGCCTTTATACAAATTTTGCATCAGATTGAAACTTTTATTTTTATATACATGCTCACCTGGTGTGGAGTAGTCTGTAAACTAGCTATTAAATGTTGTGATGTCTGTTTTCCATCTGTCTGTCTGATCACCATCAATTTTTCTTTTTGTAACTTCTATAAAACCATAAGGCCTAGAGTTACAATATTCTGTAATAGGCTTGCTGTACACTGGAGTAAAATAAGTTAAACTTTTTAATGACTTCTTATCAAGAACCAAAAGGCCCAGTATTAAATGTTTTCCCTGTTCCCTGCTTGAGTAAAGGACTATCAGATTGTCAAATAAATTATTTTGACCCACTTTCAAGGTAACAGGTGTGATATATGATTTTTCAAACAACTTCTTCTTCAGGACCATGAAGTGTTAAGATATATATCTAGGAAGCAGTCCGAGGTCAATATATCTTTTCTCGGGTGAATAAATCCAAGTATTGACCAAAGTTAAAGGCTACAATTGTTTTATTATTTTACAAAACAGTAATGTAAGCAATCTGGAAAAAAAAACACAACAAAAAAGCTTGGGAAATGGGATGGTGCATTGTTTGGAGACGCGCCATAATTTTATTTTTCGAAACAAAAATAACGCGCTCCAAGTCAATATCGGTTTTATCGGTGGACACGTGATGCACTTCTGGCCAATCACTTGTCGGGAATAATATGAAAAAATAATAAACATATTTACATTAATTTTACTCTGCATCTTTCCATTGCAATGCATTAAGAAGGCAAATGTTGTTATGAGATTATAACAACATTTGCTATTGTAAAGTCATCAATCTCTATTGTGATGTCATCAATTTCATTGTTGTCAAGAATTAATTTTCTGTTCAAAGAATCGTTCGAAATAACTAAATAAAGCGTAACTACTCTATCAAAATGTGAATACAAATAATGAATATTTCATCAAATATTGTTATGGTCCTATAACACACATTTCTACTGCCGGGCTTTATGAAGTTTGTCATCAATAACAATGTGCGTTATAGGACCATTACAACGTTTGCTAAAATATTTGTTGCTTCAATATATAGATAATATTACTCGAATGAAAACATGTGATAAACTCTATAAATTCATAGAAATGTGTATCTCTTAAATACAGATAATTCACAGTGTATTTAGACCAGAAATGATGTTCCTAGGATTGGATATTGTTGTAGTTTTGCCTGTTTAACTGCTGAGTAAAATCTTAATATCGAATATCGTAATATCGAATATTGTACTATCAAATATAAAATTTGTAAATTAAAGTTATTTTACATTGTGTTCCATGGGTTTGCATGATAATGTATTTACTAACGCAAAATGCATGCGGTCAAGCCTTGCTAGTATTTAACAAAGCTTGTATATATTTATGTGATGTTTATATTTCTTTGTTATGATATTTGTTTTATATGAATTGTGTGTTAGATGTGGTACAGAAATTATATTGCTATTTTTTTTTTTAAGTGTTTTTTTTAAATAAACCATTAAGAACATTTCTGTAGTTGCAATATTTTACATTACAGCTACCAAGTTTATGATAAATATCACAAGGGCATGATTTTTAATTCCTTTCCTTTTAGAAAAAAAATGGGAAAGTTTTACTTAAAAAAATCATTTTAATCTGTTCAAAAATTCAAAAAAAAAAAAATATAAATGGATCCATTCAAAATGTGAAATTTTACAGTTTTGGGGGAAATGAAGCCTCAAGCAATTAGCTTTGAGGACTATAAAGTCTAGATTCCCGTGATGGTCAAACCCTATACAGCTTGACAGATATAAAATATAAGGTCTAGACTTATCTCTGTTTGGTAAAAGCCTAAAGCTTGATTACATAAGACGGTTGAATTCTAGACTATTCTGAACTCTCCAGCCCTAAACATCATTGGTCTGAACAAAGCCTGAATTGAGTTGGATTATCATTAACATTAAAGAAGTAAGCCTGCACTGATATACCTAAACTAACTGGACTGTCAGTGCATGAACTATCATCCACTAACAAAACCTGCAGTAACCTAGCCTATCAGAATTGACAGAAACCTAGCTTATCAAAATAAACAGTAACCAAGCCTATCAAAACTGACAGTAACAAAGACTACCTAAACTGACAGTAACGTAGACTAGCAAAACTGACAGTAACCTAGCCTATTAAAGCTGACAGTAACCTAACCTATCAAACATGACAATAGCCTAGCTTATCAAAAATGACAGTTACATAGCCTACCTTAACTGACAGTAACCTAGACTACCTAAACTGACAGTAACATAGCCTATCAAAGCTGACAGAAACTTAACCTATCAAAAATGACAGTAACCTAGCCTATCAAAGCTGACAGTAACCTTACCTTTCAAAAATGACAGTAGCCTAGCTTATCCAAACTGACAGTAACCTAGACTATCAAAACTGACAGTAACCTAGCCTATCAAAGCTGCCAGTAACAAAGACTACCAAAACTGACAATAACCTAGCCTATCAAAGTTGACAGTAACCTAACCTATCAAAAATGACAGTAGCCTAGCCTATCAAAACTGACAGTTACATAGCCTACCTAAACTGACAGTAACGTAGATTACCAAATTTAACAGTAACCTAGCCTATCAAAGCTGACAGTAACCTAACCTATCATACATGACAATAGCCTAGCTTATCAAAAATGACAGTTACATAGCCTACCTAAACTGACAGTAACCTAGACTACCAAAACTGACAGTAACCTAGCCTATCAAAGCTGACAGTAACTTAACCTATCAAAACTGACAGCAGCCTAGCTTATCAAAACTGACAGTTACATATCCTACCTAAACTGACAGTAACATAGACTACCAAAACTGACAGTAACCTAGCCTATCAAAACTGACAGCAACCTAGCCTATCAAAACTGACATTTATGTACACTACCATTTTATTTTATTTGATCAAAACTGACAATAAGAAGGATTATTCAGTGGACAGTTAGATATACTATGAAAACCTTAAAAAATCCTCTCTAAGAAAACCTGCAATAAACTAGATTCACTAAACTGAACTATCAAAAGCTTGTTTTAATATCAAAACCTGCAGTAAGTTGGATTGTTAAGAAAAGAAATAACAGTATTTTCAAATTAATCTATATTTTGTATTATTTGGTTAGCAGTAATAAAAATTCCCTTTTGAAGATCTGTTTTCTTTCTGTAATGTGTTTTTATGATTTCCAACCTGATTCTTTACAGATATGCCAAGTCAGTGAGATTCGTTTGAAGCCTAAACCTTCACTCTACATTATAACTATTACACTATACCTGTCACCTACTCCTTAGTATCAATTTTCCCTCCGCTGGTCCTATTTTCCACTTTCCTCATACTTCACTGTTCGGAGTAAACACCCAAATCTAATGGAACACAGGGAGTAGTATAACTGTGGGTGTAGAATTTAACTATATTTGTAACATATTTATATACAATGTAGTTTGTGAAGGGTTTTCAGTTTGTTACTTTGATAGTATATATTCACAAAATACTAGGTGTTCAAATCTTTTTTACCCTGACAATATAATAATTCATGAAGTAGCTAATTACCTCATTCTTTAATTGGTACTTTTCAGGAAATTTTCCAGGGCTTAATTCAGAATGGGTGTGTTTTAATGTGTAATTAGTTCTGAATATTTTAACTTTTTGTTAAATTTTCTTTAATGCTTAAACTAAACTTTATACTCATATGAAATACAGGTGGTAGGTATAGACAGGTGGTAGCTGAAGTGACTTTTAAGTAACTGTACCTTGCCAAATTTCATCATTTTCGAATCTGTTAAAAAAAAAGGAGAGAATTAAGGAAAAAATAGCTATGAAATACAAAATTACAATAATAATTATTATTACTCATAATTTGAACTTTAAAGTCCTTTATGATAAAGGTCACATTGAAATGTTCTGTATGTATGTTTTTAAGGAAAAAATAGAGCTATGAAATACAACAAAATTTATTATTAAAAATAATTATGTATATTACGAGCAGACTGTCAAATGATTGTATATCCTGTACATATTTAACATATTTAATGTATATTGTCAGAGTAAATCTTCTTTCTGTGTTAATTTAGTGTGTATCAAACAGGAAAGTTGGAACCATAAAAAGATTAAAAACCTCATTATAAATGCCTTCCCATTGCTTCTATTTATTTTGTTTTTCTTTTTGATGGATACAATTTATATCTGATAGATATTGTAGTTTTCTTTGTATTACTGAACTGCTTTAGCCTTCTTATTTTCCAATATTCAATATATATATATCTTTATGCTAGGCTGCCATAAAAGACTTGGAAGTTATATTAGTGTAGACCAAATTCCTACCATATAGTATGATAATGATACTCTAGGTACTCAACATCTCTTAAGCTCAAGGTTATCTACTCATAGCAAAGTCTCTTAAGCTCAAAGTTACCTACCCAACACAAAGTCTCTTAAGCTCAAGGTTATCTACTCAGCAAAGTCTCTTAAGCTCAAAGTTATCTACTTATAGCAAAGTCTCTTAAGCTCAAAGTTACCTACCCAATGCAACGTCTCTTAAGCTCAGAGTTATCTGCCCAAAGCAACGTCTCTTAAGCTCAAAGTTACCTACCCAAAGTAACATCTCTAAAGCTCAAAGTTACCTACCCAATGCAACGTATCTAAACCTCAATGTTTTCTGGAGCTCAAAGTTATCTACTCTTTAATAGCAAAGTCTCTGCACTACAGCTCAAAGTTAACCACCCATAGCCATGCTTCTGGAACTATAGTTATCAACCCATAGCAACACCACAGCATTTCCAAGTTATCTACATGTAGCAATTTCTCTGCAGCTCAAAGTTATCAACCCATAGTAACATCTCTGGAGCTCAAAGTTATCCACCCATAATAACATCTCTGGAGCTCAAAGTTATCAACCCATAGTAACATCTCTGGAGCTCAAAGTTATCTATCCATAGTAACATCTCTGTACCTCAAAGTTATCAACCCATAGGAACATCTCTGGAGTTCAAAGTTATCAACCCATAGTAACACCTCTGGAGCTCAAAGTTATCTACTTATAGCCAAGTCTCTTAAGCTCAAAGTTATCTACGCATAGTAACATCTCTGGGGCTCAAAGTTATCTACCCATAGCAACACCTCTGGAGCTCAAAGTTATCTAGCCATAGTAACATCTCTGAAGCTCAAAGTTAGCTACCCATAGTTACATCTCTGGAGCTCAACTTTATCAACCCATAGTAACACCTCTGGAGCTCAAAGTTATCCACCCATAATATCATCTCTGGAGCTCAAATTTATCTACCTATAGTAACATCTCTGGAGCGCAAAGTTATCCACCCATAATAACATCTCTGGGGCTCAAAGTTATCTACCCATAGGAACATCTCTGGAGTTCAAAGTTATCTACCCATAGTTACATCTCTGGAGCTCAAAGTTATCCACCCATAATATCATCTCTGGAGCTCAAAGTTATCTAGCCATAGTAGGGGGTCTGCAGCTCAAAGTTATCAACACATAGTAACATCTCTGCAGCTCAAAGTTATCTACCCATAGTAACATCTCTGGAGCTCAAATTTATCAACCCATAGTAACATCTCTGGAGCTCAAAGTTATCTAGCCATAGTAACATCTCTGCAGCTCAAAGTTATCTACCCATAGTTACATCTCTGGAGCTCAAAGTTATCAACCCATAGTAACATCTCTGCAGCTCAAAGTTATCTACTCTTAGCAATTTCTCTGCACTGCAGCTCAAACCATTGAAATGCCACTGCAGCTCAACGTTACCCACCCATAGCCACACCCTACATGTTGAGTTAATGTTTGATGTGTTCACATGCCTATTTATTATATTACAAGCCTGTGTCTCAATGTCATTGTTAACAAGTAATCATTGGTTTGGAATGGATATTTATCTTACTTGTAATAACTGATAATGTGGTTAAGAACTATTAAGATAGCTTCAAAAGTTGACATTTCAGTATTTATTCACCCAAGCTTAATTTTGCCATTAAGATGAATAGAAAAAGCTTGTTATTGCTCTATTGCTTTTTATGATATTGGTTAGATTTCAATAAAGTTTTATACACAGATTAAATACCAAGAACTTTGTGTTTCAGTATTTTGTGTCAAAGGTCAAGGTCCATGTAACAATAAACAGAAAAATCCTTGCCATTGCACCAGTGCCTTCATTTGTGGCTGGGTTTTTAGGCAAAATGTTGAGGTCATGCTTAAAATTTCAAAGTAGAAAGTTCTGCACTAGAAGTTTATTTGTTTATGTTGTTGTTATTAGTAAGTAGTTTTTTTTCCTTGAATTAGAAAAATCTAAAGTAAGTTAGTATAACTAAAAGGTGTAATAGTCATTATTTGTTTAAAATAAGGAGTAAAAACTTGATGAAAAAAATCTATTCACAGTTTTTTGCATGGTAATTTAAATCAATGTTGTCTGCTTCTTTGCATAAAATTGTTTGTCATCGTTAACTGCACTAACATTTCATTGCTTTGAGGTAAAAAAAGTACAGCTATCTGGAAATGATTGCAAGATAAGCACAAAGATTTGAAGCTTTTTATCATATTATTTCTAATTGCATGCGTATGTTGTTTGCAATAACTATTTGTGAAATTTGACTGAAAGAAAATGCTTCAAATGCTGTGAGGTGTAATTATTAATTTCTAATCCCTGTGTATTGGCAGTGTTTCAATTACTCTGACACCGCAACTTTTGCCTTGCAGTACTTTCAGTACTTTGATTTTATTTTTTGACAGCGGGCCGAGAAGGAGACATGAACAATGCCGTAAAGACGGGAGTATTGTACTTAGAAGATCCCCTTGAAAATGTAAGACTTCAAAACATGTACTAGTTAAAAAGAAATTCAACAATTTCTTTATGCAAAGGGTACATATGATTCTGTTGTGTTATTAACGATTTACATGTGTTGACTAGCTAGGCTAGCTATCATCAGAACCTCTACCTTCAATGATGAGGCTCTACTGAATACCACTGGGTAGCCTTCTTTGATTCCTACAACAACCTACCTACGACCGTAGACAACCAGGACCTTGATTCCTCCTACTTCAATAGGAGTCCCATTTTAGTCTCATCGCCACGAAGTAGCAGAAGCAGAAGCGAGACTAATTGCTTATCTGGCGGCAGTGTCAACATTTAGTTTTTGCATTTAACTTAGGTTCACTGAAAGTATAAGTGCTAGACCAACCAAACTTGGACCATAGATAAATTTAGGTGGTACCATGCATCAAATGCTGGATGCAGCCTAAAACTGTCAATGTGTACTGAAACTTTCTTTAAGGCGGGGAGGGGCGCATGACTTAAGCTTCAATAAACTGTTTTTGTAAAAGAAAAGAAGCCTTATTCATGCTAAAATCATATCCAAAATGAAATTAAAGCGAGGTTACTGCTTTTAAAGAGAGAAAAACAAGTGGAATTCTCTAGGCTTTGGTCTTCAGTAGACAAGGATCCTTAAATAACATTAGCGTAGCTTGATTAATTGGTTGAAATGGATATGGCTTTAGTGGGCACGTTGGTCGAGTGGTTAACACGCAGGCGGCTGGGGTTCGATCCCCAAAGTCATCGTCCGCATAGAATATTCAGAGAAAGTGTTTTTCTCCTACCCACACAACTCCCAACAACCCAGGTGGAGTATAAATGGTTTGAGGTAGATATTGTGGTATCTGTACTGTTGCATTCAAGTGAGGTGGCACTATAAATGATGCTGTTGGAAGCACGGTCCCACTACCAACAGAACACAATAGATCTCCAGCACACACGCAGGCATACACACATAGGGAGATATTAGCCAGGTGGCATAGGACTAGTAGTTAGCGCCTGATAAGGCAGTTCCTGCGAATTCCTCAAAATTGTGTTGATTAATGTAAATGTTAATTTATATCTATGTATTTTAAAGCACTTTAGAGTAGCTTATTCTAGCTAGATAGGGTGCTGTATCAAATGTTGTATATTGTTATTGAAAATTAGAAAGATTAATTTTCATAAAAGAACATAGAGTAAATATTTATTACATGTTGTGTGAGTCTTATTATAATGACATTGTCAGTTTAGGGGTTATGTAATACAAGGTCATTGTAGTTTGTTGTACTCTGATCTAGTTCATTATCAATTATTTCCACGGTTTGGCAGTACAAATGTAGTTGTAGGAATTAATTTTCTTCATGGTCACGAGTGTACGGGTGCTGTTGCACAGTTATGCGATGGATCATAGGTTTGGGAAGTCTTTCGCCAGACACCAAGTATCTTGGATCAAATTTTTTCAACGTGAAAACGACAGTTTTTTTAAAAATGGATCTAATTATCATGTAAGCAATTTTCATGGATGTTCGATCAGTAGTGCATGCTTTCAGAACAACATGGTGGCCAATTTGGAAACACACTCATTTCTGGCAAATTAGATAGAAAACCTCTTGAGTGTCAGATGGACAAAATAGCGGTACCAAATTTTCCACAAAAAATACAACTCCCCCAAAAAATCATTAGCCAATTAAACTATCAACACTTTCAGCCATGGCTACTAGACCTGAAATCCACAATAAATCAATCTCATTTAGCAATTCTATGAAGATCAGACCCCACAAAGGAAAAAAGAACATGTTTAGGAATGTAACAAACACAATACCGAACCTGCAGGGTGTTAATATCCACTGACATGAAATCTTTGTTTCTATATGTAATTGACAGGTGTGGCATCCTCACTTCTTTGTGCTAACAAGTACAAAGCTACACTACACCGGGGAGACGGACCAGAATCAGCAGGAAGAGGACGATGCTGAGGATGACAATGGTTCAGTGACAGGCGAGGTATGTACGACAGTCAATCACCCCTTTGTATTCATTTCTCATTAGAGTCATGTTTTTAGTTTTTAGTTTTACGGAACTTAAATGTAATCACAGAAAAAAAATGTAGTTTTATCATGTTTTTTTTCAGATCTGGATCTTTCTTGTATCCTAAAGATATTTTTAAGTTTTATTTTTTTTTAATTTATTTTTTCAATGATAACTCTTTCTCTCATTCAAAATAAAATTCAGCTCGACACAGCTGATCTCATGTCTTCCCATTTCCATGGATCAATCTTGAGTTATTGGCATTCATTTTTAAGAGGTCATTTTATTCTACAGTGTATTATTTAAACCTGATCAGGTTTCCAAAATAGGTAGGTTTGGGATAGGATTGTTTATATGAAGATGCCAAACGACCAAACATAAATACCACATATGCAGGGATTTTAATTTTAAAATATTTATTGCTCCAAATTTGAGCAGAGGATTTGGCACAGGTTATAAATACAGTGCATATTGATATTTGCATGATGACATTTAACAAGGCGTACAAACTATATTTTACAATTATTATATTTTACTTAAAACCTGTTACTGGATTGGATGAAAAGCTGCACATGTCTGAATACGTCTGTATAAGTATCTACAGACAGATTTTCATTCCCAAATAATAATAAATCTACATTAACTGGATACATATTCAACAGGGATATACAGGGATCAAAATTTGATCGAACCGTATGTACAATAAAAGGAAACAGTCCATTAATTGGTTGATAACTATGATTTCTGTGTTTCATTTCTCCCTTATAGAGGCCAACAGGTATACAGGTACTTGAAATGTCATAACATTTCGTGGTTTTCATTAATTTTAACAAGAACGATAAACCTTGGGAATTGTTGTGCCGCCATTCTCTGACAGTGTTTGTGTGTGTTTAGGGTTAGACACTTCACACTTGTCCATTTCACCAAGACTAGTATTATTAAGGCGCGGTAGTCTAGTGGTAGGCTTGTGACCGAAGGGTTGCGGGTTCGAGTCACGTCACGGCAATGTGTTGTATCTTTGAGCAAGATACTTTACTTTGCTTGTTCCAGTCTAGTCAGCTGTAAATGAGTATGTGGTTGGGAAGTGCTAAAGTTGTTGAATGCTAGCTGTTTGGGCCGAAATGGCAGCACCGGCTGTATGCCCCCCAGGGAGTTGAGAAAGATATTGGCTGGTTGCAAAGGCCCTATAACCCCGGATACTAATTTGTCAAGCGCTTTAAGACGACCTACGAACAAGGTTGTAATAAAGCGGTATATAAGAACCTGAAATTATTATTTATTATTATTTTAAATAAGGACTGGAAATAATAATCCAGCAGGTCCTATAGAGGGGGAAGGGGGGGGGGGGGACCGTCTTCATTCTCCCCATGGATTGGTGAAAAGTTTGAAGACAAGAGTCGCTTATATTACATACCATGCAGTTGTGTGTTTTCTAATACTACTTGTGTTTCTTAACCCCTGTGATAATGTCCTTTAGTACAGCCAGAAAATAACACCACAAGGTAATAATGAGGTAAAGAGAAAAAAAGTCAAGGGTAAATGTTTTGTTCAGTATTTGAACTTTGGCACTATGCCGATATTAATGTATTTTCAGATTTTCTCTGAAATTGTGTCCTCCATACATTACTCCTGTGTCTGTACCATGGTACAGGGATTTGATCATGTTGTTTACTGCAGTTTAATCACGTTATATCGCAATTTGTGTGTGATACACAATCACTTAACACAAATTGGCAGCTCTTTAATCCTTTGTTTTGTAGAAAATGACACTAATTGCTATACTTACCGATGAAACCATGTTAAAATGAAAGATTGAAAAAGTTTTTAAGGAATCATTACTGCAAGTTAATTTTCAAACTGATGTTATTCCTACTGCACACAAATATGATATTCAAAATTATAAATTTGTCTTTATCCTGTTGTGATGTGTCAATTTTTGGTGCCAGAGTTTGTTTGGTTATTTATATAGTATCTATATAGAGTTTTGCAGGATTGCATTTGTGCGATATACCGTGAATTTGCGTGTATAGTGCGATTTTTTTTAGGTAAATATTGTCATGTCTAAAAGGGGTTGCGCACTATACGCAGGAACAAGTCATTCTTGGGTTATCGTTCTCGATTTCCAGGTCTGCCATATTGGATTACCTCCCTTCAAATAATTTCGTTTGGAGTCGTCAATCATATATAATAAGATTGAAGATATGAAAACAACCAAGAATGTAATTCTTTGGCGACACAATTTTTAACCTACTCTAAAATTATTAAAATCAGTAATCTGTGGTCATGACTGCTGATTTGGCGACAAACACTAGCTGGGCACAGGTAACATTTTTAGCTCACCTGGCCCGGCATCCGTCGACCGTCCGGCGTCAACTTTTTACTTTAAACAACTTCTTCTCAGTAACCAAAAGTCCTAGGGTGATGATATTTGGCCAGAAGCATGCTGGGATGAAGGGCTTCCAAGTTTGTTCAAATAAATGACCTTCATCTATTTTCAAGGTCACAGGGGTCAAATATGTTTTTAACCTTTAAACAACTTCTTCTGAATAACCAAGATGCCTAGGGTGATGATAGTTGGCCAGTAACATGCTGAAATGAAGGGCTACCAAGTTTGTTCAAATAAATTACCTTGATTTATATTCAAGGTCACTGGGGTCAAATATGTTTATAACCTTTAAGCGACTTCTTCTGAATAACCGAAAGGCCTAGGGTGATGATATTTGGCCAGTAACATGCTGGGATGAAGGGCTACCAAGTTTGTTCAAATGAATGACCTTGATTCATATTCAAGGTCACTGGGGTCAAATATGTTAAAAACATTTAGACAACTTCTTCTGAATAACTAAGAGGCCTAGAGTGATGATGTTTGGCCAGTAACATGCTTGGATAAAGGGCTACCAAGTTTGTTCAAATAAATGACCTTGATTTATATTCAAGGTTGCAGGGGTCAAATATGTTTAAAACCTTTTAAACAACTTCTTCTGAATAACTGAGAGGCTTAGGATGATGATATGAGGCCAGTAACATGCTGGGATGAAGGGCTTCTAAGTTTGTTCAAATAAATGACTTTAAATCATATTCAAAGTCACTGGGGTCAAATATGTTAAAAACATTTAAACAACTTCTTCTGAATAACTGAGTGGCCTAGGGTGATGATATTTGGCAAGCAACATGCTTGGATGAAGGGCTACCAAGTTTGTTCAAATACATGACCTTGACTTACATTCAAGGTCACAGGGGTCAACTATGTTTAAAACCTTTAAACAACTTCTTCTGAATAACCGAGACAGCTAGGGTGATGATATTTGGCCATTAACATGCTGGGATGAAGGGCTACCAAGTTTGTTCAAGTGAATGACCTTCGCCCATATTCAAGGTCACAGTGATCAATATATGATTAAATCTTTAAATGATTTGTTCTGTATAACCAAATGGTACAGGGTGATGATATTTTGCTAGAAGCATGCTGGGTTGGAAGACTATAAACTCTGATCAACCTAATGTCCTTGTTCGACATTCAAGGTCACGGGCGTCAAATGTTTAAATCTTTTAATAGATTCTTATGAATCAAACACTGATATTATGCCTGTAGTGTGAGATTAATACCAGGTGAGCAAGTCAGGCCCATTGGGCCTCTTGTTACAGGTAAGATGACCAGAAGGCAAAACCACCGATGCCGTCTGATCCCGGACAATAGGCTAGGTAGGCTTGCCATGCTTCAGCGAAATATTGAAATAATTCACAAGGTTATCATTCACGTAGTGTTAGACGCGAGATCAAGATTGGTAAAAAAAACCAGAACTAATATGGAACAGAACCTATAATTGAAACACTTCATTTTTATAATTATGGGAAAACCGCTGAGATGTCGAAACATAACTTGATCGGCGATTCTCTGACATCGGAATTAGCTACACTTTCTTCGTTTGGTTTCTGCAGGATTCGTCCATCATCCACCCGTTCCAAGTGGTACAGAGGGAGACCTTCATGGGCCTGTTCACTCCATTCAATCAATCGTTAAATAATCAGCGTTATAAACACCAAGCTACCTTTGATGCTACTTTTCCAGTTTGATACCGGTTATTTTCAGGATTATTTTTCAATTTTTCAATATATTTTTTTCTTCAAATCTGACCCCACAAACGTACCTGCGCACTATACCCGCAAATTTACGGTAGGCAGATTTAGTCAGATGTAAAAGAGACATCGGTTTTCCTGTGCAAAGAGGTCAAAACAAGTTTAATATCCAGTAGTAAAGATTCGGGAGTATTAGGGTTTGGAGGGGCAGGGGGAGTACAATCAAACCTGTAATTTTACATTTGATTGAGGTCTGTTATCACATATGAAATCTATACACACAATTAACAAAATGTAAATAATGAATGTCATCTCCCAAAACACAAGAAATGAAATAAAATTTACAATAAAAAATAGGTTTTCAAGAAAGAAGTTGAAGTTGTGGGATAATTATGCATGTACATTTTAATGATATTAAAATATTTGTATTCTGAATGATCCCAGTAAATGCTGTAAATTTAGCTTGCATGATGGTATGTAATGCATGCACAGTTGCCTGGTAACCAGTAAAATTATCATGGCTTACCCAATTCTTATCTTCCATCACCATAGTAAAGTGATCCTCTGACATTTTTAGGACCGCCCCCAGGATGAACTCCACTTCAGCGAACGGTGGTTCCATGGAAAGTTAGAAGGAGGCAGGAACAAAGCCGTTGAACTTCTACGGGAATACGCCTCACTAGGAGATGGAGCATTCCTAGTCCGGGAAAGCGAGACATTTGTTGGAGACTTCTCTCTGTCATTCTGGTAAACTGTCAACTGGTGCTTCAGCTTAATAGAGATGATAGGTCCATAGCAGAATTTATTTTTGTTCAATCTACTCTACGTTTAAACTGATACAGTGCCATTTTAGAACGGTCTAAACGGACACAGTGCCATTTTAGAACGGTCTAAACGGACACAGTGCCATTTTAGAACGGTCTAAACTGATACAGTGCCATTTTAGAACGGTCTAAACAGATACAGTGCCATTTTAGAACAGTCTAAACTGATACAGTGCCATTCAAGAATGGTCTAAAAAATGATATTGTCATTTTAGAACGGTCTTAACTGTTACAGTGCCATTTTAGAATGGTCTTAACTGACACAGTGCCATTTTAGAACGGTCTTAACTGACACAGTGCCATTTTAGAACGGTCTAAACGGACACAGTGCCATTTTAGAACGGTCTAAATGGACACAGTGCCATTTTAGAACGGTCTTAACTGACACGGTGCCATTTTAGAATGGCAGAAGTTGTCTACCTGACAAATCTAACCAAGATATTATTAAATCAGGAACAGAAAAGAACATAATTTTACGAAAGTGTTCAAGTTATTTCTAGGAAATCCTCAAGATACCCTTAGTATATCAGATATTATGCATGTCTAACTAACAAATCCAATTGAACAACTTGCAGAAATTATATTAAGTCAGGAATGAAAAAACTCCATATTATAATAAACATTAAAGTTCTTTTTCAGATTCCTGAGGACGCTCTAATCATAACAAATATTGTTCATGTCTAATAACAAGTCCTACAGAGCTAAACCAAACGAACAACTTTTGGAAATTGTATAATCAGGGTTAGAAAGAACGAAATATTGTACACAAAATATATTTTGAAAATCCTGATGTTGCTCTCATTATATCATAACACTTGCAATTAATGTATATGAATGTGTTTGTACCAACAGGTGGCAGGGAACAACACAGCACTGCCGTATCAAGTCGAAACAGGAGATGGGAACCACCAAGTACTTCCTCATCGAGACCAATCTGTTTGATAGCCTTTATGAACTCATCACTTATTATCGTACCAACCCACTCCGTAGCCAGAATTTCTCTATCATTTTGTCGGAGCCCATTCCACAGCTTGTCAGTCATGAGGGCAAAGAGTAAGTCGTTTTGTCAGTCATGAGGGCAAAGAGTAAGTCATTTTGTCAGTAATGAGGGCAAAGAATAGGTAATTTTTTCAGTTATGAGACAGGAGGGCAAAGAATAATTCAGTCATTTTGTCAGTCATGAGGGCAAAGAATAAGTCATTTTGTCAGTCATGAGGGCAAAGAATAAGTCATTTTGTCAGTCATAACGGCAAAGAATAAGTTCACTTGTCAGTTTTGATGGCTAACAGTAAATGTACTTGTCAGTAGTAAGGGCAAATTGTAATTGGAACATTTTAGACATGAGTGCAAAAAGTAAACTAACTTGTCAGTTGTAAGGGAAACGAATAAGTTGAATTGTCAGTTGTGAGTGCAAAGAGTAAGTCATTTTAACAGTTGTGAGGACAAAGAGAAATTCACTTGTCAGGTATGAGGGGAAACTTTAACTTTTAAGGTGTGAGGGTAAAAAATAAGTCATATTGTACAGTTGTGAGGGTAAAGAGTAAGTTTACTCTGACTTGTTAGCTAGGACAAATAGTTGCAGATTTCCAGTCATGAAGGCAAATAAGAAATGTATTGGTCAAACATGGCGGCAAAGAGTTAGTCACATGCTGGATGATGTGATTTGAGTGAGGTTTCATTATAAAATATCCTTGAATTAAAACAATATTAACAATGAGTATAGTAGTCAATTAAAAACAGGAAGTTCAAAAGGAATCCCTAACAGACTCATCAGAACTATAAATCCAGTCATTGGCACCAATTATTTGCCTGTTTTCCCTTTAATAGGTGGTTCCATAGCAACCTTGACCGTAGCCAGGCAGAGGACATGCTGAAGAAGATTGGTCGTGATGGAGCATTTCTTGTCCGCCGAAGTGCCAAAAATCAGGACTCTTATGCAATATCATTCAGGTGATTGAAAAAGGGGGTCTCTAGTCAGAGGAAAGTTACATTGTAGTGCTGTGTATGGCAAGGATTGCGAGGATTAATACATATCCTGATACATTGGTCATGATACGATCCCTATTTTGATACTTGTCGCGTCTTTCTGTACAAACCTGTTACCATACTTTTTCTTTGATTTGAAACAAATACTGATATGAACAAATCTAAAGTGTTTGTATTCTGTGGTAAATTAATTTGTTTTTTAAGTGATGTATCTCTTAAGTATACAACTAAAGAACCATTTGGTCATGTAAACCAGCTGTGTGAATCGTTTTCTTTATTACATTATGGGGTCAAAGGTCAACTTTAAGTGCTAGCCGGAGTCAAAGGTCAACGTGGGTTAAAAGCTTTGAAATTCAAATTTCACTAATTTCAAACAACAATCTCTTAAGAAACATTTAAGAGATGTTAAAATGTCTTGTGTAATTTCACGTTATTGGTTGATGCCATAATAAATCGGCACTCAAGATATAATACGATTCTCTGCTGCATTGGTGAATAGTCACACCTGTACTCAATAGGAGTGATCTCTTGAGCAGATTCAACTAGATGCTTGGTCAAAAAGACAATTTAGACAGGATCAACTGTAGGTTGAAATTAGAGCTGGTTTTGAGGTTTTATACCCCCAACATAGGAGGGTCCCATTAAGTGTTTCACTTTTAAATCCATCCATCCATGGTTCGTATGACATTGGGGTTAGACTTTGAGTTAAGCTCCATTACCCTATTTAAAGGAAGTCCATCAGTTGATAAACTTCATGTGGAAACATCTAAAAAAATATTACACCAATACATCAAATTTGGGTCATTGTGACCTATATTTTCCGCTTCATTGAGTTTGGTTAGACTTCAGGTTCAGCTCCATTTCTATCAATGACGTAGTGCATGTAGAGACATTTGTTTGTTTTACAAATATTTCTGAATTATGAAAGTTCTATAAATACATAAAAATCAGCAGCAAATTTCAAGATAACATACACACATTTAAGTGTTCATGTTAAAAATATCGGCATTATGTTACAGAGTAAGTTGATGTCGTGTTTCAGAGCGGATGGTAAAATTAAGCACTGCCGTATCCAGAATGAAGAACGCCTTTTTGTCATTGGGTCAGCCGAGTTTGAGAGCTTGGTAGACCTTGTGGAGTACTATGAGAAAAACCCTCTCTATAACAAAGTCAAACTCAAGTATGCCGTAAGCCAGCGACTCGTGGAGGAGAGGGGGGCTGTAAGTAAATCTCCATCATTTCAAAAAAATCTTTTGATCATAAATGAAAAAAGGTTTCATGTTGTTGCTTCAATGTTAGTGATAAAATAGGATTTACTTTTAGATGGGTGTGAAAGCAGTTTTCAGAAGTTTAGACCTTGAAACAAGTTATTTATATTTGTTTTAAATTTGTTTTCTTAACCAACATTATCTATTCAGCCTTAAGTGTTTTCAAAGTGCTAGTTTTTGTGATTATTCTTTGATTAGTAAAAAATATTTGTTACTTTTTCATTAAATTCTGTCTATCATTTCAGTTAACATTTATGAGAGAACAAATAAATAGTGAACATATCATTATATTGATTTAGAAAGAAGAAAAAGTAAAAATGGGGAAAATGACAGATTTTACTGGATTTAAAAGTTTGAATGGAAACTCTGGAAAAAAACAAGTTACTTTATAATGAGGATTGTTAATTCAGGTTTCATGATTGATATGAATCCAAAATGTTTTTGGTAGAAGCAAATTTTTAGAAATATTTAGTATGTAATGATGCCAGTCTATCTGTGAAGCTATGTGTTGTGTTTCCAGGAAGCCGCTGAACCGGGGTCAGATTACATCTGTCCTAACGAGTTTTCAAAGGTAACCTTCAGCACATTCACCCCTGAAATTTCATAATGAACTATTCCAACCTTTGAATTGGAAGAGTTCAAATGTGTCTTCAGGGGTGAATGAGTTCAGCACAATGTCGATGGAGTGGATGCGGTGTATGTTTAGGAGGGTTTGAAGACATTCTATTTAACACTGGTTTTGTTAGAAAACGTTAAATCACTTGTGAAGGGCGAAATTAACACTGGGCAAATATTGTTTGTACCTATGAAGAGGGAAAGTTTGATTGGCGCAAACATTTCTAGGTGTACAGTATTCCTAAAAAGAATCCAGTTTATTTGTGTAACGTATGGTAAAGAATATCCCTGGTGATGTACCGCGGTTTAACAGAACTCATGGTTCTATAGAATGTCTTACTTTGCCAATGTTTTGTTGTAGCATGTGCTATCTTGTTTGGATGAAGATTCTTGTTTCAGGTTTTGCCTTGCACTACGTCCGCTGTGACCATTATGTTTGTATTGTGTAGAAAGCAACTGTTATATGTTAGCTAGCTAACTGTTTGTTTCATTTGCCCAAATTTCTGTTGATGATGATTTGCTTTGAGATGTTCTTTCCAATTTTGAACACAAAAAAAAAGTACAAAAATGAAATGCACCTGCCTGTTAAAGCCTCATTGTATAGATTTCACGCTGTAATTTACTTAGGATGATCATGCTGTATAAAAAAGTCTTTGTAATTTTTGTACTCCAAAGAATAAGAGTTTGGTGTCTTACAGTTTGAACTCTCTGTGTAAACAACGCCTGTTTGTTTCTGTTTGTTTTACTTTTGAAAAAAAAGTTAAGAGTTTTTCTGGATTCAATTAAAAGGGGAGTAAAGAGAAAAGCAAAAATAAAACACTTTTTTGTTTCGTTTGATAATGTTGTAGATTTGACTAATGACAACATATGTCATGATTAGAAAATAAGTATTTTAGTTTCTCGAAAAAATTGGGTTTAGTTCTATTTTGATTAACGTCCTAATAACAGCTAAGGTAATATAAGGGCGTTATCAAAAAATGTCGGTCAAGCCAAATTAGTCTATGGACCGTACAATGCTAATACTGAGGAGATAGTTGAGATGGTGATTGTGATATCCAAAAGAAATAGAATAATGAATGGTTGTCAAAAGAAAATCAAAATGATTGGAGTTGGGGATGTAGGGATAGGGTTGTCCTTAAATTTATTTGAACCTGCCTAGAAGAGTTGTGTTTGGCTTCAAAAATAAAAGGTCAGTGCTATTAATTCCTGCTTTTTCAGAGATAATGGGGAATGTTTATTTGGATGTGTCTGTCTGTTGAACTTTACCATCTAGTCAAATACTGACCTCAAAATGATCCAATTTCAATTAAATTCAGTATGTACATACAAAATGGCAACACTCATGCTAAGATTGATTGCTAATGTGATGCATCAAGGTCAAGCCAAGGTCACAGTTGCTATGAAATTTTATAGAGAATTGTCAATCAATCAAACAACTTTGCATGGGAGCAGTGTAATGATGTTTTACAGATCTTTTTAGTTATCTATTTTTTCAAACCGTCTTTTTGTTTATCAATTGTTTTTTGTACAAAACTTGGTTGTTTGAGGCATTTTTGAAAATAATTGACTTGCATTGTACAGCATGCATGTACATACATTACATAATGTTGTATATCAGTTTAGTTAAATAACATACTTTGCATTTTCATATTGATTGCAGTACACAAGACAGTATGGTTTTGTTGTTTAATTTGATCATTCCTCTTCCATTTATGGAAAGTCCTACTGTGTTTTGGGATTTGTAGCAGTTCAACTGTTACCAAATAAGTATTTTTTCTGGAAAGGCAGGTTGGAAAACTAGAATGGATATTTGGGACAGTAAAAACTTGTGATATACTGCCAAAAAAACTCAAGACACAGTAAATATATAGGTATATCTTCATTCAATTCTTATCAACTGAAACCACAGTTAAAATGTCTCAATGATTAAAAGGGTACTTTTGAGAAAAATATGTCGCCCAGCTGTGGATAGGTGACGTCATCATCATCATGCATGTAACATTAAAATATATGTAAACCTTTGAGGATAAAGGTATTGTTTATGACATTATTAAAAATCAGTATCATATTCAAGTGTCAGGGTAATAGACATCATTAGTTATCCCCCTGTGGGCTTTTTATGTGAATGAGAAATTTATGGAAGGTGTGTCGTTATATATGCACAAAAATAATTTGATTAAACAATCAAATGTTGTGTTAAATCTCAATTGAATTAGAATAATTTTATATTGATATATTACTTGATAATAAATGAATTTCTGTTGAAGGCTCAATAACGTCATGGAAATTGCAGCATAGAATTAATACTTAAACTGTTTGTATAATTATAGGTGGGCTTATTATCAGGCATGGGCTTATTGCCGGACAAATATAATATCTGTAGTACTGTTTTGCTAAAGCATGAGGTAGTGTGAAGACCTTGGGCAAATGTTACAAACACTTAACTATGCTGTGTATGACATTTAAAAAAATAGCAAGGAGTCACATGACATGATGGTCTGTCACATGACTTGTCAAGTGATGAGTAGCTATAACACATACATGTTTTTAAATGCATCTTTTTGCATGCTGGTGCATTTTAGGTACATGATACAGATGAGAATCATGGAGCAGAAGGGATTTATCACCAACCCAATGAGTTTGTAACCAAGGTAATATCTGTAGTCATTTACTGGCTGTCGTAATTTTTCTATTAAGTCTTCCATAACTGATAATTTTTCTTCTGCTCTAAGATCTGTGACTTTGCTATCATCAGAGGTTGGTTTGCCACAATGTTTGACCTTTGAACTTATACTAATTTGTTTTTCCATTTACCTACCAGTAATAACTTCAACTGGCCGGTAATCACAGAAAGCTCTGACCTTTGACCTTGTTGGAGGTCACAGAATGATGTATTCATTTGCAATGTTGTCCTCCATTTGACCTTTGAACTTGAGATGAACTTCACATAAACAATGTCCACCATTTGACCTTTGAACTTGAACTAGAGGCCCAGAATGATATCTTCTCCATCAGAGCTTTGAAATCGGAAAAGACTTCACAGAATAACATGTCTTACCATTGACATTTGAACTGGACATCACAGAAAATCATGGAGTTCACAAAATGAAACAATTTAGGCTGAAGGTTTAGCACATATTCCAAACATACTCATATTTTGTCTGTAAGATCCATGATCCATGCCATTCTACATAAACCTAAATATCGAGAATGACATATCCTCCATACTTTATGAATTCTTATCTCTGAGATATGTCTTGCATGAAATGGTCTGTGTCACAGCAACATTAAATTAAATGTAATGTGGAGAAATCAGACTTTGTAGTGTGCATGAAGTTGCATTTTTGTACTTATATGAAAAGATCCATTCCAAGACCTCTAGGACCAATAAGAAATTTCAGGAATAAGATATCTTAAAAAACCAAGGGTTCCTTTCTAGATATACATATCTGCACTGCACTCTCCGATTTATATATCTGGAACCAGGTATCAGCCTAGTGATTGGTCAGGTTTATATACCTGGAACCAGGTATAAGCCTATTGATGGGTCAGGTTTATATACCTGGAACCAGGTATCAGCCTAGTGATTGGTCAGGTTTATATACTTGAGACCAGGTATCAGCCTAGTGATTGGTAAGGTTATATATACCTGAGACCAGGTATCAGCCTAGTGATTGGTCAGGTTTATATACCCGAGACCAGGTATCAGCCTAGTGATTGGTCAGGTTTATATAGCTGGAACCAGGTATCAGCCTAGTGATTGGTCAGGTTTATATACCTGAGACCAGGTATCAGCCTAGTGATTGGTAAGGTTATATATACCTGAGACCAGGTATCAGCCTAGTGATTGGTCAGGTTTATATACCTGAGACCAGGTATCAGCCTAGTGTTTGGTCAGGTTTATATACCTGGAACCAGGTATCAGCCTAGTGATTGATAAGGTTATATATACCTGAGACCAGGTATCAGCCTATTGATTGATCAGGTTTATATACCTGAGACCAGGTATCAGCCTATTGATTGGTCAGGTTTATATACCTAAAACCAGTCAAATGCATAGTGCATAGCTGCCAACCTTCAATTTTTTCATGGCATATTCCAAGGATGGCAGTTAGCTATATGATTGATTTCGGGTAATATTAACCTGACTTATCGCTAGGCTAATACCTGTCCTTTTAAGATTACAGAAAAACAACACCCAACTTTAATGCTGGTCAATTTCATGTTATCAGCAAGTTATGGCATGAAGGGCCTTCAATTTTGTCGATATGTTTATCGAGAGGAAACCCTTGGATTTTGATGATGTCATAGGATTTACTCATTACAAAGTATCACAGAGCATCACCTAGCTCTATCTGATAATAGAACTGTTCTGATACTGTGGTAAGTGCCACTTCCCAGCTTTAACTGCAAATCTTCATTCAACAGGTGCTCTGGATTAAGTGTAATTTTTAACAAAGCATGGCCACTAATTGCATCCAATTTAACCTACAGTGGGGCATGTACCTACTTGTGTTTTTGACATCTTATTTACCCAGAAGCAGTGCATGCAATATACAAGTATAGTACTGTTGATATCTTCCCACTTCCATTGTAAAGGTTACATCAGACTTCAGTGAAACGCTAAATAATTTGATGTTGCATTAGCTTTATGATAGTTCATATTTCACTCCATTTGTTAACGATGTTTCTGAAATAAGTGTTCTATGTAGAGGCAATAGTCTTACTCCTTAAGTCAGTGTCTGATATATTGCTCTTCTATATAGAACCCATAGCCTACTAATACTTCTGAAAGAAGTGCCCTTCGTAGCGACCTTATATTAGCTTACAATGAAGTAAGTGCCCACTGTAGCGACCATAGCTTACTCTGTACTAAGTGCCCACTGTATCGAGCATAGCTTGCACTGAAGTAAGTGCCCTCTATAGCAAACATAGCTACTTCTAGTGATAAAATCCCTTTTTGGAGAGGCCATAGCTTACTATTACTTCTGGAGTAAGCGTCCTTTGTAACAGCCGCAGCCTACTCTTACTTCTGAGGTAAGCATCCCCTGTAACAGCCATAGCCTACTCTTACTTCTGAGGTAAGCGTCCCCTGTAACGGCCATAGCCTACTTTTACTTCTGAGGTAAGCGTACCTTATAACAGCCATAGCCTACTCTTACTCTGAGGGAAGCGTCCCATGTAACAACCATAGCCTACTCTTACTCTGAGGTAGGCATCCCCTGTAACAGCCATAGCCTACTCCTACTTCTAAGGGAAGCGCCCACTGTAACAACCATAGCCTACTCTTACATCTAAGGGAAGCATCCCATGTAACAACCATAGCCTACTCTTACTCTGAGGTAGGCATCCCCTGTAACAGCCATAGCCTACTCTTACTTCTAAGGGAAGCGCCCACTGTAACAACCATAGCCTACTCTTACTCCTAAGGGAAGCGCCCACTGTAACAACCATACCCTACTCTTACTTCTAAGGGAAGCACCCCCTGTAACAGCCATAGCCTACTCTACCTCTGAGGTAAGCATCCCCTTTAACAACCATAGCCTACTCTTACTTCTCAGGGAAGCGTCCCCTGTAACAGCCATTGCTTACTCCTACTTCTAAGGGAAGCGCCCACAGTAACAACCATAGCCTACTCTTACTTCTGAGGTAAGCATCCCCTGTAACAGCCATAGCCTACTCTTACTTTGAGGTAAGCATCCCCTGTAACAGCCATAGCCTACTCTTACTCTGAGGTAAGCATCCCCTGTAACAGCCAATTAGCCTACTCTTACTCTGAGGTAAGCGTCCCCTGTAACCGCCATAGCCTACTCCTACCTCTGAGGCAAGTATCCCCTGTAACAGCCATAACCTACTCTTACTCTGAGGTAAGCATCCCCTGTAACAACCATAGCCTACTCTTACTTCTCAGGGAAGCATCCCCTGTAACAACCATAGCCTACTTTTACTTCTGAGGTAAGCGTCCCCTGTAACAACCATAGCCTACTCTAACTCTGAGGTAAGCATCCCCTGTAACAGCCATAGCCTACTCCTACTTCTAAGGGAAGCGCCCACTGTAACAACCATACCCTACTCTTACTTCTAAGGGAAGCGTCCCCTGTAACAGCCATTGCTTACTCCTACTTCTAAGGGAAGCGCCCACTGTAACAACCATAGCCTACTCCTACTTCTGTGGTAAGCATCCCCTTTAACAGCCATAGCCTACTCTTACTTCTGAGGTAAGCGTCCCCTGTAACAGCCATAGCCTACTCCTACTTCTGAAGTAAGCTTCCCCTGTAACAGCCATAGCCTACTCTAACTCTGGGGTAAGCATCCCCTGGAACAGCCATAGCCTACTCCTACTTCTGAAGTAAGCGTCCCCTGTTGTGGCCGTAGCGTTCTCTATCTTCTGAAATAAGCGTCTCATATAGCGGCTGTAGTTACTCTTCCTTCTGAAGTAATCGTCCTGTTTAGCAGTAGGTGTCACGGGAATAATATGTAACATAGCATACAGCCTTAGCAAGAGGTACGTGTGTTTTATTATCATTCTCAGGAATCAAAATATCTCTGGGGAAATTCTGTTAAGTTGATACAACCATATCTCTTAAAAATAGTTGTAAATCCTTGTCAAAAAAGGTCATAAATGATATATATATATATGAATATTTATACATGTGTTCTGCATAAAGTTTCTAAATTGGATGATTTTATTTATCAAACATTATGAGATAATAATGAAATATGATTATTAAAGGTCAGCTATAATGATGCCATGCAAACATTGTAACTAAGTGTTGTCTTTTAGGTGAAGGTCAAGGCCCTATATGACTATCCAGCCAACCGCACAGATGAACTCTCCTTCCTCAAAGGAGCCATCATCACCAATGTCCACAAGTCGGACAATGGATGGTTAGTGCCTACAATGATAGCTTTCCAGAAGGGCAGATTTTTAGATAAAGAAATAAATGTTAAGGAGGCACAGTAGGAGGCTGGGCTCGTGACCAAAGGGTTGCGTGTTCGAGTCACGTCACGGCACTGTGTTGTATCTTTGAGCAAGATACTTGACTCCACTTGTTCCAGTCTACTCAGCTGTAAATAAGTATGGATGGGCAGTGCTAGAATAATTGAATGCTAGCTGTAAGCACCAAAATTGCAGCACTGGCTGTATACTCCCCAGGGAGTAGAGAAATGTATTGGCTGGTTGCAAAGGCCCTATAACCACGGATAATAATTTGTGAACTGCTTTGAGACGACCTACAAACTAGGTTGTGATAAAGCGATATATAAGCTCAAATTATTATTATTATTAAAATGACAAACCAAGTTGTAGTAAAAATTTATTTCGTTTCTTTCATTTCACTCATAATTTGAACAAATTAACAAGTCTACAAACAGAAAGTCTTGAAAATATGGTGAATATTGAAATGGCTATCAGTTCATGATCGCATTTAACATGTACCATCCTCCATTTTCACTACGGTGTGTATGGAGTATTACCTGGTACTATATATTAGGTGACACTACGGTGTGTATGGAGTATTACCTGGTACTATTTATTAGGTGACACTACGGTGTGTATGGAGTATTACCTGGTACTATATATTAGGTGACACTACGGTGTGTATGGAGTATTACCTGGTACTATATATTAGGTGACACTACGGTGTGTATGGAGTATTACCTGGTACTATATATTAGGTGACACTACGGTGTGTATGGAGTATTACCTGGTACTATATATTAGGTGACACTACGGTGTGTATGGAGTATTACCTGGTACTATATATTAGGTGACACTACGGTGTGTATTGAGTATTACCTGGTACTATATATTAGGTGACACTACGGTGTGTATTGAGTATTACCTGGTACTATATATTAGGTGACACTACGGTGTGTATTGAGTATTACCTGGTACTATATATTAGGTGACACTACGGTGTGTATTGAGTATTACCTGGTACTATATATTAGGTGACACTACGGTGTGTATTGAGTATTACCTGGTACTATATATTAGGTGACACTACGGTGTGTATTGAGTATTACCTGGTACTATATATTAGGTGACACTACGGTGTGTATTGAGTATTACCTGGTACTATATATTAGGTGACACTACGGTGTGTATTGAGTATTACCTGGTACTATATATTAGGTGACACTACGGTGTGTATTGAGTATTACCTGGTACTATATATTAGGTGACACTACGGTGTGTATTGAGTATTACCTGGTACTATATATTAGGTGACACTACGGTGTGTATTGAGTATTACCTGGTACTATATATTAGGTGACACTACGGTGTGTATTGAGTATTACCTGGTACTATATATTAGGTGACACTACGGTGTGTATTGAGTATTACCTGGTACTATATATTAGGTGACACTACGGTGTGTATTGAGTATTACCTGGTACTATATATTAGGTGACACTACGGTGTGTATTGAGTATTACCTGGTACTATATATTAGGTGACACTACGGTGTGTATTGAGTATTACCTGGTACTATATATTAGGTGACACTACGGTGTGTATTGAGTATTACCTGGTACTATATATTAGGTGACACTACGGTGTGTATTGAGTATTACCTGGTACTATATATTAGGTGACACTACGGTGTGTATTGAGTATTACCTGGTACTATATATTAGGTGACACTACGGTGTGTATTGAGTATTACCTGGTACTATATATTAGGTGACACTACGGTGTGTATTGAGTATTACCTGGTACTATATATTAGGTGACACTACGGTGTGTATTGAGTATTACCTGGTACTATATATTAGGTGACACTACGGTGTGTATTGAGTATTACCTGGTACTATATATTAGGTGACACTACGGTGTGTATTGAGTATTACCTGGTACTATATATTAGGTGACACTACGGTGTGTATTGAGTATTACCTGGTACTATATATTAGGTGACACTACAGTGTGTATTGAGTATTACCCGGTACTATATATTAGGTGACACTACGGTGTGTATGGAGTATTACCTGGTACTATATATTAGGTGACACCTAATTTTCTAACTTCCTCATTGGTTGAATCATTACCACATTGAGGTTAAAAATCATCAACTATGGACTTTTTTTGAGGTGGATATGTCACTCTAAGGACCTTAGATAATGATATTGACCGCGACGAAGCAATTGGCTTGATTAACAAGGCTCTTTTATCAATAATGCAGCATGATTGTTCTGTTAACATTATATTTATAATTCATTGCTATACCAACAGGTGGCGTGGTGATTATGGCGACAAGAAGCAGTCCTGGTTCCCAGATTACATGGTGGAAGAGATCGAGACCCAGGACGAGACCGCTGACACAACTCCCTTGGGGACTATGCAGAAAGGCTCCATAGACGTTCAGGGCTGTAAAATAGGTATATTAGAGGTTACTTACATTCTCCCGAGTTCTAGGAAAGTTTCATTTCCATGTTCTTACTTACCATAACTCATTTACCCCTGAAGACACATTTGAACTCCTCTAATTAAAAGGTTGGAATAGTTCATTATGAAATATCAGGGGTGAATGAGCTAACATTTTTTGTGGTGTTTTTTTCTTTTTGTTATTGCATTTTGCAAACAACATTTCATTCTTAGTGAGAACTGATTGTTTCTGTAAATATACTTAATTTAATGCCCTCAAATTTTAGCACTTAATCAAATCATAACAGTGAAGCACATTGATGAATTGACTAGGGGTGTAACGATATACCGGTATACCGGTATATTGTGATACAGCTGAGAAACGATATGTATTGCAATACGATTTTCCATATACCGGTATTTTCGATATTTATTCTCCATGAATTATTTTGAAATTTTTCATTCACATTACGATCAAATTACAATAAAACCAGCTAAGTAGTCGTAGGCGCTTTCTCGACGTTTTTGTTTTTTGTCCCGGAAGCGGTAGTGTGTTTACAGTAAACACGCATGTGCGAGCGAAAACGAAAGTAGTCGCGGGAAAGATGGCGGAGGAAAAGGACGAAAGCTTCAGCATCATTCCTAATAAGAAGGCTAAGTCCGATATATGGCAACACTTTGGCTTGAAGCAATACAAGGAAAAAACAAGCGTTGAACCGGGCGTCGCCGTGTGTAAAAAATGTAGAACAGAGGTGAAGTACAGTGGCGGAACAACCAATCTGGGCGTGCATTTGGACCGCCATCACAAAATGACAGTCATTGGAAAAAGTGCAAAAAAATCATTCGAGTCGTCGATTGGTACTGCTTGTACTAGTGGTGGTAAGCAGAAAACTTTATTTGAACTCTCGCAATCTAAGTATAGTAGAACGTCTGAGAAGTACAAGCAAATTACTGCTGCCATTGGAAAGTTCATTGTTAAAGACTTGCGTCCCTTTTCCATCGTATCTAACGAAGGATTTTTGGAATTGATGAAAGTGCTTGATCCTCGTTATGATGTACCCTCGCGTATTCATTTCTCAACAGTTATTATTCCTGACTTTTATGAAGAAGTAAGGTCAAATGTTTTGAAAAGTATGTCAAAATCTGAAACTGTTGCTTTGACAACAGATGGATGGACCAGTAGAGCGACAGAATCTTATGTAACAGTCACATCAAGTTTTATCACCAAGGATTGGAAATTACAAAACTTTGTTTTACAAACCCGTGCTCTACCGGAAAGCCACACAGGTATTAATATCGCTAATGTTCTAACAACCGCTATCAATGAATGGAATATTCCTAAAAAACCCTATGTGCCACTGGTAACGGACAATGCCGCAAACATGTTGGTGGCAGCTAGGGAGGCTGACTGTAAACCACACATTGGTTGCTATGCTCACACTTTGAACCTCGCAGCACAAAAAGCCCTGAAAATAAACTCTGTTTCTAGGATTCTTGGACGTGTGAGGAGAGTCGTTTCATTTTTCCACCGAAGCACTACAGCAGCTGCTGTATTGAAGTCTAAAACTAAACTACTTTGCCTGAAAGAAATGAAACTGGTACAAGACGTCAGTACTAGATGGAATTCTGCTGTAGACATGCTGGAAAGATACCTGCTCCTGCAACCAGCAATATTTGCTGCTTTGATGTGTAAAGATATTAAAAGAAATCAACATGAGGTTTCTACACTGAGCTGTGATGACCTGAGATTAGCAGAGGAAATCATGGAATGTTTACGCCCTTTGAGAGAAATTACACAAGTCCTGTGTTCTGAAAAACTCCCTACTGTGTCTATTATTTTGCCATTACAAAAGAAATTGTTGACCCAAGTACTTGTTGAGAGAGAATCAGACTCCAACATAATTAAACAGATGAAGAATGCCATGTCTTCTGATTTATCAGAAAGGTAAATTAATTTTTTTTAATATTTCTATTGACTATTATATTTGTAATATAAGCCATGAAAATTTCAATTAAAAACAATTTTACAAACACAAACATTGCATTGATAGTTTATTAATCTTAAATTTATGGTATTGAACAGTAAATAAAATGAATTGCTATTTAAAATAGTACATGTCAGATTTCATTTTTTTTTAAATTTTTATTTCATTTCACTCTTTCAATCTAAAATTATAAACAATTGTCAATTTTCAATAAAGGTTTTCATTTTTCAATTCCAACTTCCACTGTTGTGTTTCAGGTATACTCCCATTACTGATTTTCTTGAGGAATGCTCAGCTGTAGACCCAAGAATTAAAGTGTCTTTCAGGCCTGCAGATGAGCAGTTCATGGTTTACAACAGGTTGTCACTGATTGCAGGAAGTGCTACTCCCATCAAAGTCAAAACAGAACCAGGACTTGAACAAGTTGGATCGGTTCAGCCAGGCCCAGTATTACCAAATTTACCACAACTACAAGAAGACACACAGAGTAAATAATTTTAAAATACAAAATGGATAAATTCACCAATCAATACATGAAGCTATAATTTTGTTACAAAATATATTTATCAAAAATTAAAAATAAAATAAGTTAAATAACACAAACAAATCATTTTATCTTGTAAAAAACATAAAATGTGACATTTCTCAATTTTGACTTAATTTTAATTTCAGGTCAAGATGAGTCAACTGCTGCAGCTGAAATGGATACTTCTGGCCCTCCTGGACTCTCCTCCATTTTGAGTGATGTCATATTTGTCAAACATGAGGAAGGTGTATTTAAATCCCAGTTGGAGAAAGCTTCAGATGAAGTTGCATGTTACAAAGAAATGGAACTTCTTCCCATGGATCAGGACCCATTGAATTGGTGGAAAATGCATGAATTACAATTCCCCCTTCTATCATTAATTGCAAAGTGTAGATTATGCATCCCAGCTACATCAGTCCCATCTGAAAGAATCTTTTCAACTGCAGGGGATATTGTTACTGCCCAAAGGTCACAGCTGAGTCCTGATGTTGTGGACAAGTTGATATTCTTGAAAAAGAATATGTAAACCACTGATCAATGTAAACTTCCAGTAACTTACTAACTTTCAAGCAATAAATGCATATAAATTAAACAGGATTGTTTGTTGTTGTAAATGAGTACTAGGTCAACACAATATTACACTTATTTCAGGTACTTACCTTTTCGTTTTGACAGTTTCTGCTATTTCTGTGTATCGCAATACGTATCGCAATATGACTCTCCAATATCGCAATATATCGCAATATGGGTTTTGCTGTATCGTTACACCCCTAGAATTGACACACCCACAAGTTATGTATAACTTTGTACAAAACTGAAATTAGGACAATCATAATTTAGCCAATTTCAAGTGCAAAAAGTGCTAAAATGAAATAACCAGCACAATATGTTTGTTGTTGCAATGGATTTCAGCAGTTGAAATGGAACATGAAATATTTTTGTTCAGAAATTATAATAAAGGGTACAACAAAATTCACATGTACCTGACGTCAAGAAAACATTTGTATCAGCGATATGTTTTGTAAAGTTCAAAACATAATTGGTTTATATCCGAGTACTGTGAAAGTAGAAATTCATGCATGTGACTCTTTAAAGTATTCAGAATTTGGAAATTTTTGTTAGCTGTGGTTCTAAAATCTGTGTATTCTATTCATCTTAAATTTATAATGATATTTTATATATACTATTTGGTTCTATGCGAAAAAACATCATTTTCACACCGTGAAAAAAATCTTCTTTTACATATTCATGTTCTCATATGCTCAGATTAATCTATGATATTTGTCACCAGCAATATTCCTAATAATAACAGGAAAATATATAAATATGACCTGTATATATTTCAGAGCCTGTTAGCCGACCAGACCGTCCATTTGCTATACGCATCTTCACTCGTACTCAACCCTTTCCGATAGAAGTAGCAGCCGACACTGAGAGCGAGATGAAGGAGTGGATAGAAAACATCAACATGTGTACCAACAATCTAGACGGAACGGTAGGTTCACCTAGACCCTACTAGACTCTACTAGACACTACTAGACCCTACTAGACACTACTAGACACTACTAGACACTACTAGACACTACTAGACACTACCAGACCCTACTAGACTCTACTAGACTCTACTAGACTCTACTAGACACTACCAGACCCTACTAGACACTACTAGACCCTACTAGACACTACTAGACCCTACTAGACACTACTTGACCCTACTAGACTCTACTAGACACTACCAGACCCTACTAGACTCTACTAGACTCTACTAGACCCTACTAGACACTACTAGACCCTACCAGACTCTACTAGACACTACTAGACCCTACTAGACACTACCAGACCCTACTAGACTCTACTAGACACTACCAGACCCTACTAGACCCTACTAGACTCTACTAGACACTACTAGACTCTACTAGACACTACCAGACACTACCAGACCCTACCAGACCCTACTAGATACTACCAGACCATACTAGACTCTACTAGACACTACCAGACACTACCAGACACTACCAGACTCTACTAGATACTACCAGACCCTACTAGACTCTACTAGACACTACCAGACCCTACCAGACCCTACCAGACACTACCAGACCCTACTAGACTCTACTAGACACTACTAGATACTACCAAACCCTACTAGACACTACTAGACCCTACTAGACACTACTTGATACTACCAGACCCTACTAGACTCTACTAGACACTACTAGACCCTACTAGACACTACTAGATACTACCAGACCCTACTAGACTCTACTAGATACTACCAGACACTACTAGACACTACTAGACACTACTAGACCCTACTAGACCCTACTAGACTCTACTAGATACTACCAGACCCTACTAGACTCTACTAGCCCCTACTAGACACTACTTGATACTACTAGACTCTATTAGATACTACCAGACCCTAATAGACTCTACTAGATACTACTAGACACTACCAGACGCTACTAGACTCTACTAGCCCCTACTAGACTCTACTAGCCCCTACTAGACACTCCCAGACCCTACTAGACTCTACTAGACACTACCAGACCCTACTAGACACTACTAGATACTACCATACCCTACTAGACTCTACTAGATACTACTAGACACTACCAGACACTACTAGACTCTACTAGAGACTACCAGACCCTACTAGACACTACTTGATACTACCAGACCCTAATAGAATCTACCAATCCTACTTGATACTACCAGACACTACCAGACCCTACTAGACTCTACTAGACACTACCAGAACCTACTAGACACTACTTGATACTACCAGACCCTAATAGAATCCACCAATCCTGCTTGATACTACCAGACACTACCAGACCCTACTAGACTATACTAGATACTACCAGACCCTACTAGACTCTACTTGATACTACCAGACCCTAATAGAATCCCCCAATCCTACTTGATACTACCAGACACGACCAGACCCTACTAGACTCTACTAGATACTACCAGACCCTACTAGACTCTACTAGATACTACCAGACCCTAATAGAATCCACCAATCCTACTAGATACTAGCAGACCCTACTAGAGACTACCAAACCGTATTAGATACTGCCAGACTCTACTAGATACTACCAGACTCTACTAGATACTACTAGACTCAATGAGATACTACTAGACACTACCAGATACTACCAGACCCTACTAGAGAGCTACCAGACCGTATTAGATACTGCCAGACCCTACTAGATACCAACAGACCCTACTAGAGACTACCAGACCATATTAGATACTACCAGACTCTACTAGATACTTCCAGACCCTACTAGATACTACCAGACCCTACTTGATACTACTAGACTCTATTAGATACTACCAGACCCTACTGGATACTACCAGACCCTACTAGATACTACCAGCCCCTACTTGATACTACTAGACTCTATTAGATACTCCCAGACCCTACTAGATACTACCAGACCCTACTTGATAATACTAGACTCTATTAGATACTACCAGACCCTACTAGATACTACCATACCCTACTTGATACTACCAGACCCTACTTGATACTACCAGACTCTACTAGATACTACCAGACCCTACTAGATACTACCAGACCCTACTATATACTACTAGACTCTATTAGACACTAAAATACCCTACTAGACCATACTAGATACAACTAGATACTACCTGACCTTACTAGACCCCACTACACAGCTTTTCCCATTAAATACCATATACACTTGTATGGGAAAATTCCTATATAGTTCACAAATGAAAATAATGGTTCATTCTGCTGTACGATCAATATATTTAGTACAGTATTCAATTCCATTTAATTTATAAAGTGTAACAACAAAAATATTCCTAACATCAGTAAAGTGTGGAATTTAGTAGTGTTATCTTTGGAGTCTTATTCTAATGATGTTATGCTTGACAAAATTTATCAACATATGAACATTTATTTATATATAAATTAGGTTATAGACACAATGTATAGAGATTATATTGATTTCAGAAACATTGGCTATGTCAAACTGTTCACACATGAGAGTTTCCACTATTCCAGTCACTGCTTCAGTGTCAAAACTCTAAATTTCTAATTTTAGAAACAAGAGGACAAGCGATTAGAACGTAAGAAGTGTCTGGCTCGCGACCTCTCCGACCTCATCATCTACACCATTGCAGTGCCATTTGAACCACAAAGTAAGTCTCCTCCGTGAAGTCTCTTCTCTCCATATAAAATCAGTACAGTATCTTAAATCTTCACATGTCAACATATAATGTTCAATATTTATTTACTGCATTGAAGAAAAGTTTATTTTATCAAATTTAATCATTTCGGATTATTCACTGGTAAAATTTAATGAATACATTTATTTGGAATTACTGCTTCTATGTTAAAATTTATCAATTGAAGTCAGAATTTATTTTGATGACAGCTTTTATGGTCTGGTTTAATTGACATACATGGTGTAAGGATGGTTTTATTTTTACAGGAGTAATGAACAATCCAAACTGCTGTGAGATGTCTTCTTTCTCTGAAACCAAGATGGAGAAGTTTTTCTCTGTATCTCAGGCAAATTTCTTTGTGAAATATCCTTTTTATAGCCTCTGTGTCGTACATGCTTGTATCAGTTTTTTGTGCATATTGAGAAGCAAAAGATTACTTGTAATAATGAGATAACTTCTCGCCAATGTCATGTTGCTTAATAGCAAGTTTACTGCTGACAAATGATTCATGACATTAGTTCAACCATCTACTTTGAAACAATTTGTATACCTGGAAACTTTAGCACTGTCCAACTTTTGACCTTCACCGATAAAATTAATATTGACCCAGTATTCATTTTGGATATACAAGATGTGCTGTCTACAAAAATTTGCTGTCTTTATTAATTTCCCCTCATTATAAAGGATTATAAAAAAGGCAAAATTCTCAGCAGACAGTATACAGTATGTGGAAGTAAATCATTACCAATACAGTATGTGGAAGTAAATCATTACCAATCATGAGACATGAAAATTCCAGCTTCAATCCACATCATTGTCAGAACTGACTGCTGCACCAGGTCTGAATATTTTTTTATTTTTGTCCACTGTTTTTCCTTGACCCTCCCCACATACAATAGGAACCAGCTGAGTAGAGTGTACCCTAAAGGGTCTCGGCTGGACTCCTCCAACTACGACCCCATGGCTTGTTGGAACGTGGGTACACAGATAGTAGCCCTCAACTACCAGACCCCAGACCGCTCTATGCAGCTCAACCAGGGGCGTTTCCTCAGGAACGGAAAGTAATATAGAGTTTTGTATTTTTAGGTCACCTGAGCTTTGCTCAAGTGACCTATTCCAGTCACTTTCCGTCCGTCGTCGTCTGTCGTCCGTCATGCGTAAACTTTTTACATTATCAACTTCTTCTCAAGAACCAGTGGATGGATTATTTTCAAACTTGGTCAGAATCATCCTTGGTGGATGAGGCTACCAAATTGTAAAATTGGGATCCTTCCCCAACCCTAGGGGCCAGGGTGGGGCCCAAAAGGGAAAATTAACCAATATTTCAAAAATGTTCTTCTCCAGACTCAGAGGTATTACAGTCATTTTCTCTGCATGGATGGAAAGATCATCAGGGGCTTTATTTAAATTGTAATTTTCAGGACCCCCGAGCTATCCGTTCTCCCTTGGGGAGGGGGTGAAGTTTACTATTGTTTATATAGGGAAACAACACTTTTGGGTATATTTTGACAATTTTCTATTGGAAAATATTCGTACTTAGTGAGAATTATCCTTGAAGGAAGATGGTTTTAAATTGTAAAATTGGAATTCCTACCCCAGCCTTAGGGGCCAGGGCAGGGCCCAAAAGGGAAAATTAACCAATATTTCAAAAATCTTCTTCTCCAGACTCAGAGGCATTACAGTCATTTTCTCTGCATGGATGGAGAGATCATCAGGGGCTTTATTTAAATTGTAAATTTCAGGACCCCCGAGCTAATCGTTCTCCCTTGGGGAGGGGGTAAAGTTTACTATAGTTTATATAAGGAAACAACACTTTTGGGTATATTTTGTCAACTTTCTGTTAGAAATTATTTTTACTTGGTCAGAATCATCTTTGGTGGATGACAGTATCACATTGTTAACTTGGAATTCCTGCCCCATCCCCAGGGGTTAGAGCGGGGCCCCAAAGGGAACATTTACAAATATTTTAAAATTCTTATCCTTTGATGACATGACATGTATTGTATTTCACTTAGTTTACATGCTGATTTCCATATCACATCTAAACAATAAAATAAAGCTACCAGTACCTACGATATAACTCAGGTGACCGCTAAGGCCCTTGGGCCTCTTGTTGATTTTAGGCTACTATTGAATAGAAACTTGGCAAACTTTTTGTCATAATACAATTTTGAAAGTTACCTGATTCATGTTAGATAAACAGTATAATCAACCAGCATTCATTTGGGAACCTTTATGTAATAGCAATCTGCCTGGTTTGACAATCTGTTTATGTCTTGTAATAATTGAAATTAGTAATTTTTGTATGTCTTGGTGTTAGAATTATAATTTAGCAATTATAATTAATTTGTTTAGGACTAATGAGATAATGAGCTACAAACGATTCTTCGTTACAGCTGTGGGTACCTGCTGCAGCCCCAGTCAATGAGGATCCCGGTGTTTAATCCTTACGACAAGACCACTCTCCAGGGGGTGGCTCCTCTCACCATATCGCTGACGGTATGGATCTTAAAATGTAGTTAGTCGCTCTTATCTATGTAAACAACCAAGAAACAAGTTTGCATACATGCCAGATCTCACGGCATGGGGCAAAATCTCACGGATTTTCACCTCCGATAAAGTCTCACGGCGTGGGACATGAATTTAAGGAAAGTCCTCAAAACCTCACGTGTGTTAAATAAATGATCTATCAGTGAACCCTTTTCCATTTTGAAACTGTTTGTCCGAATTATATAAATCACACTTGTTGGCCTGGATGGAATCTTAGATGGTCTCACTAAGGTAGGAAAACTGCAGTTACCGGAGAAAGGAGTTACCAGAAAAAACCCATGTGGCTGGGCAGGTGACCCAATACCTTTTCATGTCTGATAGAGAAATTGAACCCCGGCCGCCTTGGTGAAAGCTGGTGATTGTGTTATCCACAGCACCACCCGACCACTTATATTTGTCACATACATTGTAGAATCACAATAACTAAATCGCCCACATTATGTATTTGGACACTCATTTCTGTCCAAAATATCACTGATTTAATATAAATACCATAAAAAACAGCCAGCACCATTTAGTAATGAAATCTTTGAGCATTTGCCAGGCTGATCTAACGTGTGATTTAGACCAGTTGCTAGCCTCAGTCAACTGTGAGGTCTAGGGTGATTGCCAGCCCCAGTTAGCAGTGTATTCTAGGTTTACCAACCCTCATTGGCAATGAATATCTAGAGCAATTGCCAGTCTTGGTTGGCAGTAAAATCTAGATGGTGTAAATTTGCCAGCCCGTATATTGGCAATGATGTCTTCAGCAATTGCCAGTTTGGTTGACGGTGATCTAGTTAAAGTGTTTGCCAGTCCTGGTTGCCATAGTTTTAACTCTACCGGCAGAAGCCACAGCAACTTGTGTTTGTGTTGGAACTCCAAAGACGTGGTTAACTCTTTTAGTGGCATTTGAATAATGAATCTTTACAAAACATTTGGGTGCAGAATACTTAAAGATCATTGGTGATGCTTGCGGCCAGGAGTGTTAAAAGATGTCACTATCTTTTCATCCAGAATTTTTCAATGTCATGATAGAAAAATTCACTAAATTCTGTCGGCGAATTCCATGAGATCTAATTTGCTAGCCACTGAATTTAATAAAAACAAATGCTTTTGATTATAGGTACTCGGAGCAAGACACCTTGTGAAATCGGGCCGGGGAATAGCTAGTCCCTTTATAGAGATAGAAGTTACTGGTATTGATCAAGATTGTCACAAATTCAAAACTCCAACAATAGGTAAGCTATGTACACACAAGCAACAGGTATGATATCTACCTGCATAGGGAGGAGTGAAATCTTCAGAATTTACTAATGACTTTTTAGGTCACCTGAGCTTTAGCTCAAGTGACCTATTGCTATCCGTCTTCGTCCGTCGTCCGTCAACATTATACATTTTCAACTTAAGCTGAAATACTGGCAAGGGGATTTCATTGATATTTCATGGGAAGGTTACTGACATCTCCCTGACCAAGTGTTGTTATTTTTCGGGTCGATCAGAAATCCAATATGGCCGCCATGGCCGCCATTTTGAAAAACTATTTCAAACTTAAAGTCAAGTTCTGCTAGGCCGATTGAACTGAAACTTTGTAGGTATGATCGACTCATGGTCTTGACAAAGTGTTGTTATTTTTCGGGTCGATCAGAAATCCAATATGGCTGACACGGCCGCCATTTTGAAAAACTATTTCAAGCTTAAAGTCGAGTTCTGGTAGGTCGATTGAACTGAAACTTTGTAGGAATGATCGACTCATGGTCCTGACAAAGTTTTGTTATTTTTCGGGTTGATCAGAAATACAATTTGGCTGCCATGGCTACTATTTTGAAAATACCTATTTTATACTTAAAAACAAGTTTTAATAGGCCGATCTAACTGAAAATCGGTCTAGGAGAGATCAGCTCATGGTCCTGACAAACTTAAGTAAACGTTATACTTAACATTTTTTTACTCAAATTGGTACATATTTCAACAACAAAAATAAATACTGTAGGACTCAGGTGACCCTTAATTAAGGCCCATGGGCCTCTTGGTTTTTTAAAATTTAGAAATCTATAAGCAAACCTACAAGTTTTTACATTAAAGAAATACAATATGAATTTGTTCTAATGAGTCCAACTCGGGACCCAGCCGATAGATTTTCATTGTAATTATTACTGTTGCCTCGTCAAAAATAATTCAGTTGAAATTGAAGAAAATCAAATCATTATCATGACATTAAAAAGATTTTAAGCTATCTATCTATGGTAAGAGAATAAAATGTTTAGAAGTCGGTTAAAATGAAATGTGTGAAATATTGTAATCAGTAATCATATATCTGTCTTGTAATTGATATTTATACATTTCATTCAGCTGATAACGGCCTTAACCCAGTATGGAAAGACGGCAATTTTGTTGTTTTTGACATGCTGTGTCCAGATCTCGCTCTCATACGCTTCGTCGTGCAGGATGAGGACACATTTGGGGAACCAAACTTCCTGGGCCAGGCAACCTTCCCTGTACCAACCATCAAAAGTGGTGAGTATCTTGATCTTAAATGATGCTGAGCGCTAGTATGTATAGTTCTACTTTGTTTGAAGCTAAAATTGCACAGCAATGTGTATTTACTATTATATATGTATAATATAATGTTTTAGGTATATTTAGTGTCTAGGAATGCAAGTGACTGCCCTGGGTCATAATGTGATTGCCTTATTTGAAATTTCTATAAACTGTTGCATTTTATCAGATTTTGTCCATAGTATTTGCACACCAAATTGGCCCGGAGTTGATGAGAATAAAACTGTAACAAATAGTTAAGGATTTACAGCTGGCATAAGTCAAATTTGTCCACTACAACAGTTGTTGTTATGTGTTTACAGGTTACAGAAGTATTCCTCTGAAGAATGGATTCGGGGAGGATTTAGAAATGGCTGCCATCCTGGTTCACTTAGAAATGCGGAACCCATGTGTGAGTATGGGATATACTTTTAAATCAGATATTTTTGTGGGGTTCAAATTTCGTGGTTTTCGGAAAAACAACATTTCATGTGAACATGAATTAGTGGATTACGAGTACCCACTCATATATATAACAGCTTTATGTGAAACTTGTAATTACTTTGGGGACCTGTGAATTCGTGGATAAAGAGCACCTACGAAATTGAAACCCCCCACAAAATAGTAATTTGAAAGTAAGTTGTGCAATCATAGAAATTGACAATATTATTGGCTCTACAGGTTCCGCCATTATGTCTTGGATTGAGAAAATGGCACCTGCTTAAGTAAGATTCTTGATATCAAACATGTATAAATAGACAAGCAACTAAGTCACACTGTATACATTTCTTTATATACTGAACAATTGTCATGCAAAACCTATACAAACATAGCAGAAATCTGTGAAAATAAGCATGCTATCAAAACCGGTGTATATACTGAACACAAATTTATCAATTCCATGTGTGTAATTCAAAACGTGTAAAAACTGAAAAGAAATATGTAAATTCTACTTGTTCAATCCAAAACCTATATGAACTGTTCAGAAATCTGTGAATCGGGGAAATTATAGTGACCTTTCGGGGTCATGCTATTGTTCGTGACGTCATTTTATGACGTTTTGGGGTCAGTCAGGGTCATTGACGTCACTAATAATTGCCCTCCGGGCTTCATATGCAAATGAGAAATGTGTGGACAGTTTACAACTTTACTAAAAGAGCTCTTTACAGGTTTTAGGAAATAAGCAAGAAATAGAATCCATCCCTGATATAAGGTAAGGATAAGGTAACTCAAACCCTCGGGATAAAATATTGAGCAAAATACCCTCGGCAAAACCTCAGGTCTCCTGCTCAATATTTTATCCGTTGGGTTTGAATAACCTTATCCATACCTCACATCAAGGATGGATTCTATTAATCCTTAATGTGCTCCGAGCTTTGAAATGAACATAAGATTTGACAATCATCTTGTGTAATCTGTGTAAAAACTTCCCCATTTATTCTTAATGTGCTCCATGACAATCATCTTGTGTAATCTTGTAAAAACTTCACCATTTATCCTTAATATGCTCCGAGCTTTGACATGAACATAAGATTTGACAATCCTCTCATGACAGGAATCAGAGGACCGCGACATTTACGGGTGTATACAGGACCTCCTGGAGAAGAAGAGCGAGCTAACAGGTCAGCTTCAGGAGATGGAACAGTCCGGGCTGAGTGACAACGCCACCAAGTCACTCCAGGACCAACTCAATCAGACAGAACAGGTCCTTATCGCCAAGAATGAGGAAAGACGTCAGAGAAAGTAGGTGTCATGGAGAATGTCACTGGTGTACAGATTATACAGATTTGTTAGAGATCCCCACATTAGAAAATATTATGTATGGTAGGAATTAAAGGAATGTTTGTATTAATTAGGGTAGTATTGTAGTATTTAGGAATGTTTGTTTAAGTTACTTTATTATCATAGGAACAACTAGCCAGTCGCATGTGTCCAGTTTGGTTGTTTGTTAGAAATAATTTATTGCATGAAGTTCTGTAATACAGAAAGAATTCATTGTTTATGGTAGGAAATGTGTTTTGGTAGTATAAAGTAAATTAATATTTTGTATCAATTATAAATTATAGTACCCCTGCAACCTTGGTAATTTAATTACCTATAGATAAAAATTTCAAAGTCAAAGCATCCATTTACAAATGTGATGCTGGTGCCTTGATGACTGTGTAACACTGGTCATGAAGTGTTTGGTTTGGCATTTAGTAACTGAGTTGTTTCAAATTCAAAAGGGAAAATTTTAATTTCATTAATTTTGCAATATGTGAATATTATACGATCAACACGAGGAATATGAATCCTACATTAAAATCCCTGTACCACTGCCAAAAAACTGCAGTCACGAATTACATTTGATGTATCATTTCTGGGCGGGGGAAAGGGGAAATAAATTCCTTGTGGGACATTTACGAAAAATACAAAAGGTGAAATAAACAAGACATAATCAACAGCAGGGTTCTGTACGGCCAGGCCAGGATTTGAACCCTGATCTCCGAGTGTTATGCCGTCACTCTAAGCTACTGAGTGTCTGAGAAACATGGCCCCACTGTTCTACAGTTATAGCCAAAACGAAATCGAATCCTTAACTCAATGATGAAGCACTGACATTTACCATTATGATAGTCCTCCAAATAAAATTCAAAAAAGGATCAATACTATTAAACTGTCCATAGTGATTTTAAAACTAGGAAGCCTTTATAACAATTTATAGGGGTGTCACAATATGCCTAGAGTGTATCCCGATTTATTGAATACAGAATGAATATATAGTGATACATAATCCGATATATTGTTATCGGAAAAATGTGCTCAATTTAAAACGAAATTGTTGTCAGAATGTTAATAAACTTAATCATATATACTGTAATATGGATCATATATTTAAGATTTTTGTCAAACCCACCATCGATTACAAAATTTAAGTTGATTCCCGCCACTACATAGTAGAAGCTTGATATATGGTTATTGGCATATTTGTATATGTACAAAGTTAAAAGGCCAAACAAATACAATAAAATAAGCTTTTGAAAATATTGCAATACACCGATATTTCATTTCTGTATTGCGATACAATAGAAATATGCCTGTGTATTGTGATAATACCTGGTTTCCGATATATTGTGACAGCCCTAACAATTCACATATGGTAAGTTTCAAAACTATACTGGTAGATTACGATAATACCAAATTGAACAGGATCGATGACCTCGTTTTCACTGATAATCCTGCATGACAATTGGCTATGTAAATGTTGTGTTGAAGTTTGTTGACCGTGTTTTATTTACCCTGTGTTCAAAGCTTGTCAGCCTCGCATTCAGCTTTGTCCCCCTTTGCGATCTGCAACCCGGAAAGCTTAAATATCCAGGACATTTTGAAGTAGTTAGCAGGTCCTGTTTTCCTGTCTATTTTTGTTAAATATTCATGTAGATACATGTGTAGGTTTCTGGCGAAGTTTTAGGTATTACGTGCAGATTTTCGCACAGAGAAATGGGATGACATCCTGCATGTCCATCTTTTCCTGAAGAAAAAGCTTATGGTTATGCTTCAAATACTGAAACAACATTATCGCAACTACTTTCAAATATCATAAAGAGGCTTGATACCATTTGGTATGAAGATACATCAACTCATTCACCCCTGAAGCCACATTTGAATTCTTTCCAATTTCAAAGATTGGAATAGTTCGTAAAGAAATTTCAGGGATGAATGAGTTAAAATTACCGAGTAGGTTAAATTGCAAGACAAAAATGAGTTGATGCCAAATATATTTCACCCCAACAAGTTACCTATAGATGTCCACCAACATATAGGGACACAAATTTAGAAAAAATTCAAGACACAAAAATGTGTTGATTCCACTTGTTGAGTGTTGCATCGTTTGATTTTGGGTCTAGTTGGGACAGATAGTGTGCGTTTTGTAGGTGAGTCACTGTTGATACTAGGTCTATGAAGCACTCATGTATATATCAGAATGCACGCAACAATGCATGTCAGTTGTAGTAGCCTTCTTCCATATCCAAATTATTATCTACTGTCCTGGAGATTGTTTAGCATGTTTTAAGGAGATATATGCTACCTTACTGTTATATTTACCTCCATTCAAAAGAGTTTCAATCAAAACATAAAAATCAGATACTGGTACTTTTTAAGATTAAGTCGTTACCCCTGAAATTTCATGATGAACTATTCCAACTTTTGAAATGAAAGAGTTAAACTGTGTCTTCAGGGGTGAGTAAATTAATGGCTATTTGAACATAGTTAATGAATTCATGAGACAATTTCACACATAAATATGCATTGTTAAATGCTAAGATAATTTTGAAATATTATATTACGCTGAATGTGTAGTACTATTTTGATTTCTTGAATCAATTATTTGTACCATCGATGGGGAAAAATACCAATCCACACAATATTGAATTTCACACTTTCACATGTTACTGGAGATGGCTAGTTCTGTAGTATAAGGAAAGCCCTTCTTACTGCAAAGGGAGAGTACTCCTAACACTAATAGCAGCTATAATGTGTAAGGTAGCAAAAAAACTTAGATCAGAGGTCAAGGTCAGTCAGACGAAGAAATATACTTTTAGCATGCCCTACTCTTTGTTAAAAGGCCTAATTATATTTGTAGGTCAACTATTTTTACGACTTTCAGAACCGTTCCTCTTGTTTTCAACTCAGAGAAGGGCACTTTTACCTTCTTAATGAATATTAACCCATTCACCCCTAAAAACACATTTGAACCTTACCATTTCAAAGACTGGGCTAGTCCAGTTTAAATATGTAGGGGTGAATGAGTTAATTCCATTGTAAACCTAGTTCATGTCATGCAGAAAAATAGTTATACAGCTTCAAACTACATGTTCGTTTACCGTGATTTCCTGCATACAACCTGCTCCAGATTATATAGCTCATTGGAGTTTTAATTCAGCAGATCACCATCTCCGGCAGAGTGCCTGCAGGTTATACGTTCAAAATACTCCTATTCCTATAATGAAGGCTTCAGACTTGATGGAAGCAATGGAAATGAGCTGGGTGATTAAAAGAGATAAAATTTGTATAATATCATTGTATTTGCACATATTTAGCATTCATGTGCAAAGTAGGTAAAGTATCGCACATAAGTGGCTTATTTTACTTAATTGTGTAGGAAAAAGAATAGACATAGCATTCATTAGATAGCCTGCTGAAGACATTTTCAGATGTTTCAAAATAAAACGTAAAGCCCACAGGATATCTGCAAGAAATGACGGTATGTTATCAGATGTATATATATACAGGGATTAGCTAGCATGTTGGTTTGAATGCTGTAATCAGGTTCGTCTGATTTAACACAAGGGACACAGGAATGGAGCATGTGGAGGTTTAGATATTAACTGGACTGGTGATTGAACTTGCACTTGGGAAAAGGCTAGTATATTGCCATGGTGCGGCGTTCGTCGGCCGGCCGGCGTCAATATTTTACTTTAAACAACTTCTTCTCAATAACCAAAAGGCCCAAGGTACTGATATTGGGCATGTAGCATGCTGGGATGAAGGGCTACCAAGTTTGTTCAAATGAATGACCTTGACCAATTTTCAAGGTCACAGGGGTCAAATGTCTTAAAATCTTCAAACAACTTCTTCTCAATAACCGAAAGGCCCAGGGTACTGATATTGGGCCTGTAGAATGCTAGGATGAAGGGCTTATGATTCATCTTGACCCACTTCCAAGGTCACAGGGGTCAAATGTTGTAAAATCTTCAAACAACTTATTCTCAATAACCAAAAGGCCCAGGGTACTGATATTGGGCCTGTAGCATGCTGGGATGAAGGGCTACCAAGTTTGTTCAAAATAATGACCTTGACCCACTTTCAAGGTCACAGGGGTCAAATGTCGTAAAATCTTCAAACAACACTTCTCAATAACCGAAAGGCCCAGGGAACTGAAATTGGGCCTGTAGCATGCTGGGATGAAGGACTAAAAGTTTGTTCAAATGAATGACCTTGACCCATTTTCAACCTAATGTCATTGTTCAACATTCAAGGTCACAGTCATCATATGTTTAAATCTTTTAATATGTTCTTATGAATCAAACACTGATATTCTGCCTGTAGCTGAATTTTAGTCCACTTTTAAGATTACAAGTGTGAGATTAATACCAGGTGAGCGATGCAGGCCCATTGGGCCTCTTGTTACTGTATATTACACTGTTGACACACGAGGAGGGCTATTATTACTGTATATTACACTGTATTGACACACGAGGAGGGGTTGTGAATATTAAAAAGTTACATTGGGATGATTATTTGACTAAAGTGTGACAAAGAGATACAAAAAATGAGATGTGTAGGTCAATATCCTATTAAGATGTATTGTATATATCCAAAAATAAGCCCACGCTTACAAATAAGCCCACCCTTTCTTAAACAGATGATACAGGCACAATGATAGGGAGTCATTGACACAATGTTAAGGGTTCAGGGACTTGTTGATTTGGAGTCATTGACTCAATGTAAATTACAAGGGTTCTGGGACTCATTTATTTGGAGTCATTGACTCAATGTTAAGGGTTCTGGGACTCATTTATTTGGAGTCATTGACTCAATGTTAAGGGTTCTGGGACTCATTTATTTGGAGTAATTGACTCAATGTTAAGGGTTCTGGGACTCATTTATTTGGAGTCATTGACTCAATGTTAAGGGTTCTGGGACTCATTTATTTGGAGTCATTGACTCAATGTTAAGGGTTCATAGACTCATATATTTGGAGTCATTGATACAATGTTAAGGATTAGGGGATTCATTGATTTGGAGTCATTGACACAATGATTGGAAGTCATAAACTCAATGATGGGGAGTTATTGACTTGATGATAAGGAGGTGGGTGACTCAATGATGGGGAGTTATTGACTTGATGATAAGGAGGTGGGTGACTCAATGATGGGGAGTTATTGACTTGATGATAAGGAGGTGGGTGACTCAATGATGGGGAGTTATTGACTTGATGATAAGGAGGTGGGTGACTCAATGATGGGGAGTTATTGACTTGATGATAAGGAGGTGGGTGACTCAATGATGGGGAGTTATTGACTTGATGATAAGGAGGTGGGTGACTCAATGATGGGGAGTTATTGACTTGATGATAAGGAGGTGGGTGACTCAATGATGGGGAGTTATTGACTTGATGATAAGGAGGTGGGTGACTCAATGATGGGGAGTTATTGACTTGATGATAAGGAGGTGGGTGACTCAATGATGGGGAGTTATTGACTTGATGATAAGGAGGTGGGTGACTCAATGATGGGGAGTGGTTAACTCAATGATGGGTAATCATCGACTTATGGTTGATATCATATGACATAGAATTGGAATGGAGGAAGATGTCCTGAGGACAAGTTTGTTTTATATAAAGGGGCCCAGAATAAGGATAGGGAATAACATGTTTTTCACAGAAAATATAAGCGGAGAGAAATGCTTATTTGGAAAAGGATGCTAGATATAGTATTCTGTAGTGCTGTGGTCAGTTGTAGTAGACACAGCTTTACAGATTGCACAGCTTTGCTGAATTTTACTGACAATAAGCCCATGCCTACTGTTAAGCCCACCCCCCTTGTTTAATAAATTTCATACATGAAAATCTTATTTATAATCAACCCTTTCCTAGGCCTATACATCGTGTTAAATTTGAGCATAAAAACTTGATATGTAACGCAACTTATTTCCCCCTGTTTACTCGTACTAGAGATATACCCTCCCGGTCTTTTCCTACTAGAGGCCCCCCCCCCCCNCCCCCCCCCTTTGGCTTATTAGAAACAAAGTACAGTCAAGCATGGTGGTGGTATAAATGATGATCGTTTAAACTGCAATCAAATCAAACAGTTTCAGGAAAGTGTATGTAGTAACATCTGTCTTAAATCATTCCTATATCTTGTTCAATAGCTGACAATGTTATCTCTTCTGTCTTCTGTCTAATGACTTTTCCACTTCTCTTGAAGACTTTTTAACAAAACTTTTTGACGGAATATTGCAAACCATGTCTGATTTGAGCACTGTCAATGCATCCTCAATACTCCAGGGGTTATACCCTCACTTTCGCTCTCTGCTCCCCTGGAATATGTCATAGGCTCAGTAGTGTGTACCACCATGTGGATGAGACAAGTAGACTAGATAAAATTTGATCGTTTCATGTACATCAAAAGAATCTTTTGGTCCCATAACGGTAAATAAAATTGACTGGCTGAAGTCGGGTGTTGCTCCTCTTCAATTTTCAAAGGACAGGTATCAACCTTGCAATTGGTCAGATGTTTTTTAACATGTCCCTTCAATTTTGCCATGACACATTCCAAGGGCGCAGAGAGCGAAAGTTAGCGTAACCCCTGGAGTATTGAGAATGCTTTTAACGAGGCTATTTTATTATACTGTGAAATCAGATCTTTTCGTGAGGCCCAAATTTCGTGGTTTCCCGATAAAACACCATTTCTTGGATACATGGTAGACCTATGAATTCACGGATGAATATTAAACACAAAATTATCAAAATTCAAAAACCCATGGAAATGAGTGATTTCACAGTAATTGAGTTAACTGTTAAGTTAACACTGGAACCCATGCTGATGGATATACATAATGAAATGTATCTGAATTTATTAAAGAGAAATTTAATCATGGTTGTCAGCATAGCTGTTAAACATGTTAATTCTACGAAGCTTAGAATTATAATGATATTAGCTTATTCAATGTATTTGTATAGCAATATTATAATTTATTATGCTAATTCCTTCACAATACTTGTCATTTTGACTCAAATCATAGTCCAATTAAATCATCTTGAATAGAGTTTTAAAGGAAAAATAAAATAGAATACAAGAAATGGTAAAATGAAAGGAAAATACAAGAACTGGTAAAATTCTTAATATCCCAGTATAAGGGAATTCTTTCTCGTAACAATGATGTCAAATTCATATATTATAATGAGAACTTTTTCACATTTTCAGGATGACGGTGAAACAGAAAAAGGTGGTCTATCGGCGGACGTCAGCCAGTTGATGACATGATTCAGAGAGAGACAGGGGGGACAACAGTACTAAGCAATAAACTAATATTGTATATGAACTCATGATACAGTCACTGACGTGTTACTTTCAATAAACCGGGTTTGTCCACAAACTTTGAATCCAGAACCAATGCTGGTGTTTATGACAGACATCTTTGGCGACATTGTCACCGTTGTTCTTTTCTGGAAATTTTACAAAACCTGAACTAGTATGATGACTTACAAGATTCCTTCCATTTTCACAAAAATGCTTCTATGGGTTTGTTGTTACTGCTGTTAAATGTGTATCACATTAGACATCCTTCAAAATTATTGATAAGTGCTACTTGTTTTACTTAGGATCAGTAACTGCTTCTTTTTGTGTGTCAAATCTAAGGTCCTGTGACTAATTCGTTTATTTGCCCCCCCCCCCCGCCCCCCTTCCTATAGAGTCGTAGGCATGTGTCACCCACCTTCCTATAGGATAGAAGGCATGTGCCACTTGCCTTCCTATAGGATAGTAGGCATGTGTCACCTGCCTTCCTATAGAATCGTAGGCATGTATCACCTGCCTTCCTATAGGATTTAGACATGTGTCACCTGCCTTTCTTTAGGATCGTAGGCATGTGTCACTTGCTTTCCTATAGGATTTAGACATGTGTCACCTGCCTTTCTTTAAGATCGTAGACATGTGTCACCTGCCTTCCTATAGGATCGTAGGCATGTGTCACTTGCTTTCCTATAGGGTCATAGACGAGTGTCACCTGCCTTTCTTTAGTATCGTAGGCGTGTGTCACTTGCTTTCCTATAGTATCGTAGACATGTGTCACCTGCCTTCCTATAGGATCGGGGCATGTGTCATCTGCCTTCCTATAGAATTGTGGGCTTGTGTCACTTGCCTTCCTTTAGGATCATAGACATGTGTCACCTTTGATTTTCTTAAGGATCTCTGATATGAATCGCCTTTGAAGTCCTTATACAAATGTAAGGTTTAATATTTCGTTGCTTTATGAAAAGTGTGGATCATTTTTACCTGCAGAAATACTTATATTTTGTGAATATTGCGTGTTATATCTACTGTATTGAAGAACTTGTAACACAGCACTACAGCTTAACACCAATCTGTGTCAGTGATAAAAGATCTTGGCAAATCATAGGTCAAGCTTCCTTGCGAATCTGATTCAAGATTACATTGCCTAAGTAAGATTAACTGCTGAAGGATGCGCCATTGCAGCGATAATATGTTGTCATGTTGCACCACTTGTAATTTAAGTAGCCGAGCTATAACCTACAGGCGTATAGTATATTTGACATACCATTGATTTAGCCTTTAATTTTGTAGAGGCTAGGATTAAATGTGTGCTTTAATTTTGTAGAGGCTAGGATTAAATGTGTACTTTAATTTGTATTGTACAATCCCGAGGTCTAACCAGACAATTTTACAATTCATTATACATTTATGCTGTATTTAATTTAGCAAATGTTTTATCAAAAAGGTGAGATTTTTGAGAGAGGTGTGCTGAGTGGTTCGTGAATGTCAGGGACAGACAGCGTCCTCTTGTATGAGGACACCTGTTCCGTGTTTCATCCTGAAGGATTTCTATGTAGTTTAGATGATGTATAAATTATCAATGTTAACCTGCCATGTTTAATAGAACTGTATTGTACACATATATCAAATGTCATATTAGTTACCTAAGATTTTTGTTGCATTTTCTTATGCACCAAGTGCTTGAGAAGCGTAATACATGTACACAAGCATTTATATTCAATTGATACCGTTTTTGGTATCTTGTAAAATGAACTTCTAAAATTAAAAAGAATGAAACATGATAATGTAGCAAACATTTACAATTCCCTAGTATAGCCGATCAAACATTTACAATTCCCTGGTATTGTCTTTCAAAAAGATTTTCATGATTAATTGATATTCAGATTTGTTAAATCATGTACACTGCATATTTTTAAAAAAATAAATTTTTCATCTTTTTGCAATTTTGCACTAAATTCATGCGAAAATGTTAATTGAAACACATTGTAATATTAATTCAGCAGCATTGCGAACATGAAAATTCAAAATTTGAATGTACAAAACTTCATATACAAAAGATTCCATACAAGAAAAAAATGTATACTTTAAAAAAACTAAAAAGTTATACTCGTGTATTGGAGAGTGGGCACACATATCCATTGTTTACTGATGATTATGTAAATTATATTTATCACATGTTACTATTTACACGGCATAGTTTTGTTTATTAATCTAGCATAATATTTCATGAAATATGTTCATTTTCTTTTTCTTCCGGCTTTTGTCAAATTTGCTGGCCATATTTATTTTGTTTGTTTGGTAAATTGTTATCAAGTTCCTATTTGAATATTATAAGACTCTTTCATGCCCAGGGGTGACTGACAGGGAAATTCCACCTGAGGTTTTCTAATTTGTAAATCCAGAGGCCTGAATGAAGAAAAGTTTTGAATGAAAAGTTTGTTTGCAGTTTTATGCAGAAATTAGCATTTTCAGGCATTTATAAAAACAAAATTCAAAAATACATTAAAACTTTTTTTATTCTTTGATAACAAAGGCATCCATGAAAAGTTGGAACTCTTCAACAAGAAGAAAATTGGAGGTAAACAAGTTGTCCTAATGCAAGATTAATGTTGCTAGCTAGGTGTGACATCACATAGCACATTGCTATTTTACAATGACATTATCACAGAAGCTCGGAGTGATAAGACACTAGCAGTTATGCTTACTGTATTCATCCAGAAATAAGCCCATGCCTGCTAATAAGCCCACCCAATTTTTTTCCAGTTCTGTAGAAATGCAAGCAAAGGTTATTTCATTGTTCTGTTATAATCCCATCCCCTAACTTTGAGTGACAGATTATGTGTTGCTCACCCCACCTCACCCCACCTAACCCCACCCACAACACCCACAACACCCCACCTCCCCAGGGCTTATTGCAGGATTAATACAGTAAGTATCTATGATAACCCATGAGGTAGAAAAACCTGCACATAACTTTAATCTATCACATACAATTTTTTAACTCTGGCTGAATTTTTGAAAAGTTGAATGAATAGTAATTAACATGTTTCATGGAATTTGGTGTATTGTTTAAATATATATTTTATGAAGAATTGAATTAAGAGACTGTTTTGTCTATATACAATATTTGAACAAATAATCTACTAACAGATAAGCAGTAGATATTCTATGTGAGAGTTCAGTTGAAGTTTTGTTTTGCTGCAGGTTTCTCTGTTAGATTACTATACATAAATTTAATAAAATGTACATTGTTTTCTTGATGAAATATATGTATTTATGTACATTCACTTTGTGCTGATGACCGCTGGTCATTCTAGCAGTTTATCTACATTGTTATTTCTCCATGATCACGAAAAAGTGTTCTTGGTTTCCGCTAGATATATACATGCTTGAATAATGCTGCGATTTGTGTACTGTGTTTATCTGGTAATAAGCCCACTCATATCTATAACAGTTCAGTAGAAATGGCAACAATAGCTATTTCATTGTCCTGTAATAAGCCCACCCCCTAAATTTAGTTGGTGCATGTTTTGGTCCCCCAGGCTTATTGCAGGATAAAAACTATACACATATATAATTTTAAAAAGTGCTAAAATTATAGTTAGAATGGTTATACATTCTGTGTTTTGTATATATACAAACCTACATATACTGCATTGCTATAACTGGCAGATATTCAAGGCCATTTCTAAGTATCTGCAATGATCAAAAACTTTCAACTAATCTGGCATCAACACAATGCAAGTTTTTTATTTGCAGTGTTTAATTGCAAACAAATCGCATTGTAAAATCTCGGTATATCTTAATTTGTCTGCATACATATCCAGTCTCTTAGAACTTCGTAAATGACTTATCTTTTTACATATTTTGGTTTTCATGGTTTGTGAATAAAGATTATCTTTCAGGTTGAAAATGAATGTTAAAAAGAAGTTGCCCATGCCTGGTAATAAGCCCACTAATATCTATTGCAGTTCAGTAGAAATGCCAACATCGCTCATTTCATTGTCCTGTAATAAGTCGATCCCGGTACTTTGAGTTGGAGATTCACGTGTCGACCCCCTGGGCCCATATTCATGAAACCGTTCTCATGCTCAAGCATGGATTTTGTGCTGAAGTCTAGTTTCTTGTTCCGTTTATAAAATGATAATAAAACCAAATATTGTCATTAATTTGAGACAGAAAAAATGAAGAAACTTAAAGCCAAATACTGTTTTCTATGTTTACATTTCACTTGTTGATCGTTCGACATGATTTAAGTGAGTTACAAGAAGTTGGTTTGTGTACAAAATCCATGCTTGAGCATGAGAAGTTTCATGAATTAGGGCCCTGGGCTTATGAATTTAATTTAATTCTTTATTTGTTTACAGAGGATTACGAACAGCCCAAGGGCTACTAGTTTCTTTCCTCACATTGAACAAACGAGTGAACAAACGAAGAAATGCATGAACATTTATACTGGTCATTCTCACCACTTCATGAGAGACACACACACACACACACACATACACACACACACTCTCACACGTACACACACAGACAAAGACACGGAGAACAATAAGAAGGACGAGTGACAGAGACAGACAGACAGAGGGAGAGAAAGAGACTAACCCTTTCAACACTGTAACCCATAATGGACTCATCCAGATCACTGTATGATAGAGTCAACCAATGTGACAGAGCTACCTATATATATTTTACCAATGGTAAGTCCATATTTGGTGACAGTTTTAAGTCTTCTACCTTAAAATTGGTTCAGCTGGAGACTGGAATAAGGTGGATACTTCAAATCTTTTGATATTTGCAGAGTTATGTTTGCTCTTGGGTTTCAAATGATTTATTTGCAACGATTTCAAAATTACCAAAGATGTTTAAGCAGGGCTGGTGTATTCCAGAATGCTAATCATTCACAGACTATTTTAATTTGTGATTAACTTGCCTAAGGAGCTGAAGGGAAAATTTAATATCTTTTGAAATATAATATATTTACAATAGCTTTTTTGTACTCTATTTTTTCTATTCGTGGTTCTGGTATTATTACTGGCTACATAGAACACCATACCTATAACTTTATATACTTCCTCCAGGAAATTGCTTTTTTGGTCTTATTTAAGCTGGAGACCACATTTTACTTGCTAGAGATTAACTACATGTACTTTACCCATTTTACTTATACTTATATTTATGTTACAATCATAGATGCGAAAATATAGAATTAACTTGAATTTTCATTGACACTCAATCAGTTTCTTCCATTTGTTAAATTTTTGACCTAATTTTGCGGTCTTTGTGTATAATTGTTTCTTGTGTATAATTGTTTCTTTTTAAATGATTGTATCATTACTAGCTGTAAGTTGATGCCATACGCCAGGTCTACAATACAAAGTTGACTGTACTGTACTATACTGTAATGTACCAAGTAAAGAATAAGTCTCTAAAAGGAAAGGATGCCAACTGAAATGATTCTGTGAGACAAATTGGATATGCTTGATTGTTTGTGCAGAGAAAAATGTTGGGCAGATGCATATTGCAAGGTGCTCCACTTTCTGCATTTCTATTTGTAGTTATTTTAAATGAAGTTTAAAACTTTACCAATAGATTTTAAAATGTCTAAATTCACATATTACCAAGCAGAATACATATAGTTGCAACAACCATGTTTTGAAAATCTGAGCTCTAGTTATTATTTTTATGAAATACCATGTTTTGCCCTTTTTTTAAAACTTATCCACATATTTTCTTATACTGCAGTGATTGATCCAAAAACCAGACCTGATTTCTTGGTGACACAACCATAAAATTATTTCTGGAAAAAAAATCAAGCTAATCCATTTTGGCCCTTTGACAAATTCAATTACAATGTATGCAACCCGTCATTGTCTCATTTTTTTACACAATTGACACAATAAGTATGTAATGTTACACAGTAAATATGTAATGTTACACAGTATATATGTAATGTTACACAGTAAATATGTAATGTTACACAGTATATATGTAATGTTACACAGTAAATAATATGTAGTGTTACACAGTATATATATAATGTTACACAGTAAATATGTAATATTACACTGTAAATATGTAATGTTACACAGTAAATAATATGCAATGTTACACACTAAATATGTAATGTTACACAGTATATATGTAATGTTACACACTAAATATATAACATTACACAGTAAATATGTAATGTTACACACTAAATATATAACATTATACAGTAAATATGTATTTATAGCATTGTTGATCTACATGTATCCTTGTTATAATGCTCGATTTTATAAAACTGTACTCGTAAGATTCTTAAAACTGAGATTAGCCAGGAGTTCGTTACAGGACTAATAGGTTTAAAATCAAAACTTCAATCTTTCGTTTAAGGTGTATTTTATATTTCTGTAAAGATGATTGCAATTACTCTGATTGCATTGGTTGATGATGAAAGATGAAAATGTAATATTTCAAGACAATAGGTTTTACTTAGAACAATTATGGTCTTTGTTGAATAAGGTAAAAAGTTTCATCAATTTGACAACAGTTTTCATTGAGTGAAGATATCCTTGGGTATACAGGAAGTTTAATTAGCACAGGCAAATTAATTTAGAATTCACCTTTTATTTTGTTGCGATTTTTGTCACAGTTTTCCGTTAATTGTGTCCATGATCTTCCAAAGAGCCGTGTTTTATGAACTTGTAAGTTGGGTCCTATAAGGAGTTCTGTTTGTGGTATTTGTGGTCATATTATAGTAATAATGACATTATCCTACTGTATGCATGTGTGTTTCTGTATCGGAGTTATGCAAAGTGTAGAATAGCAACAATCAAACATTTTTGCAATAGATTGGTACTGAGGGACCTGGCCCATGTGTCACCAATAGTTGAGTTTAAGCTCAGGCTGGGCTTGACTTTAACTCAACTCCCAGTGTATTCCCATCTGAGAGAGTTGGGATTCTACTAGTATTTGAACTGAAACCCTGCTCAAGTTTGAACTGAAATTGTTGGTGATCACATGACATGCTCTACCAATCAAAACTATTTTTGCTGGAATTATTTGACCTAACCTCATGAGGTTAATTTCTGTGAAAGGTATCGTCCCCCGATGTTTCATGTCTTATCAGTGAACAGCCAAAGCTATTTTCCCCGCAGTGTTCCCTACACCTTTGACCTTTGGCCTTGGGAAATTGTACCTAACAGCATTTCATTACCTTAGTATGGGTGTCTGGAATAGCATTTTAAACAGTGGATCCTTGGTGCAAATCTGGATGAAAATTCTGTACCTAGCTCATTTCATTTAAGCTTATTCTTGGGATTTTTTCACTAATTCTCTGAATGTTGTTCGCATAATTATTCAGACTACAGAATCCCCCTGTGGTACAGGTATGTTAACCCTTTCACCCCTAGGTAACTTTAGTAGACTCTACCATACATTTATCTGGGTGAGTCCATTCTGGTCTACAGTGGTGAAAGGATTAAGTGCAATTTAGCGGAGGGATGGAAGTTACAGATGTAAAACAATGGTATAATCAGCTTTAATACCTCCCTAGGCCTGCCCCCACCCCCTAACCACACATACACATACCAGTACTCATGTGACAAGTGCACATACATAGAAGCCACTCAAAACTCAAACAATTATTTTTATTGTTGACGGAAAGTCATCTTCCAATTAATCCACAAGCATACATTAGTTGTTTATTTTACTGTATGCTTTTTTTACAATGGCTGTTTTCGCTAGAATGTGAAATTTACTAATTCAAAATGACAATAGATATTTGGAATCCAGTAACATTGCAGACCAAATAAGTTCAAAACCACCACTTCTACAACTGGCGAAATCATGTTATTGTACTTGTACATTTGAAAGCATAAATAATACTGTACGAAGTCGTGTATGGTGGTTGGTTTCAGTTACGCTAAATATGTTGTTGCAATTATGATTTTAAAACTTTATCGACCACCATATGCTTTAGATATTTACATTTACCCAGATCCATTTCTGTTGCCTTTCTCAATGTTTTGGCACTGACTGTCCTGTGAAAGAAGTAATTATTGGGGTTTTCTGTCGCTGAACATGTTTGATACAATGGACAAATCACATGTATTTATTGAAAATGTACTTTTTTCTGTTTCTGTACAATCAGTATTTGTTAATTGAAGATTGATTAGACTAATTGGTTTGACACAAATCATTGAAAAAGCTGATTTGTTGCTGAAAGTATGCTTTTATATCATGTCATTGATATTTTAGGTTGGTTTTCATACCATACTCGCATATTTCAAATAATTTTGTCCTCACAACAATTTTGACAAAATTTCTTTTATTGTCAGATTTCAGAACATTTTTAGCTCATGTCATGGTGCAGCGTCTGTCGTCTGTCCGTCAATTTTTCCTTTAAAATGATACTAGTCCTGAACAGCTTGGTGGATTTTAACTAAATTTGGTCCGGTTCATCCTTGGGCCAAGGGGACTCAATTTTGTATAAACGTTGGGTTGGCCCCCCTGCAGGCAGAGGAGTAAGGCTCAATAGGGGAAATAGATGTAAAACTTTTAACTTAGGCTTAGGGGACTCAATTTTGTATAATCGGTGGGTGTGGCCCCCATAGGGGCAGAGGAGAGGGGCACAATAGGGAAAATAGAGGTAAAACTTTTTAAATCCTTCTTCTAGCGTAGGTATAAAGGAATTTTATTTTAATTTAGTCTGGAGTATCCTTGGGCCTTGGATTTTATTAGCTCACTTGCCCATTGTTAAACTGTTTATTTGGTGACAGATCTAGATGTAGGGTAAATTTGAACACTCTGGTATGGTACATTTTCAAATGAAAATTGACCAAATTAGGGGACACTTCCCCCTCGCATTTCCTAGATTTGTCGCCGCCTTCATTTCATTGTTTTTAAACCTTTGCCATCCAGCTTTGTGCATCAGGATTGCAACACTGCTGAGATTTCGGTGATTAAAAATTGTCTGATTTTCTGTCCGATTTTCTTCCTTAGTGCTGGGAATTTGGTGATGATAAATTGTCTGGTATTCTGTGGTACAATGTCCGATGGTCTGTGGTCACAATGCTAATTCTGTGGTACAATGTTTGATGGTCTGTGGTGACAATGCTATTTCTGTGGTACAATGTCCGATGGTCTGTGGTCACCATGCTAGTTCTGTGGTACAATGTCTGATGGTCTGTGGTCACAATGCTAGTTCTGTGGTACAATGTCCGATGGTCTGTGGTCAAAATGCTAATTCTGTGGTACAATGTTCGATGGTCTGTGGTCACAATGCTAATTCTGTGATACAATGTCCGATGATCTGTGGTCACAGTGCTAGTTCTGTGGTACATAAGGGTTTGGTCCACTTCATGAGAGACATCACCCCTAGGCAATGTCCAATGGTCTGTGGTCACAATGCTAGTTCTGTGGTACAATGTTTGATGGTCTGGGGTCACAATGCTAGTTCTGTGGTACAATGTCTGATGGTCTGTGGTCACAATGCTCGTTCTGTGGTACAATGTATAATGGTCTGTGGTCACAATGCTAGTTCTGTGGTACAATGTTTGATGGTCTGTGGTCACAATGCTAGTTCTGTGGTACAATGTCCGATGGTCTGAGGTCACAATGCTAATTCTGTGGTACAATGTCCAATGGTCTGAGGTCACAGTGATAATTCTGTGGTACAATGTTTGATGGTCTGTGGTCACAATGCTAGTTCTGTGGTACAATGTTTGATGGTCTGGGGTCACAATGCTAGTTCTGTGGTACAATGTCTGATGGTCTGTGGTCACAGTGATAATTCTGTGGTACAATGTCCAATGGTCTGAGGTCACAGTGATAATTCTGTGGTACAATGTCCGATGGTCTGTGGTCGCAATGCTAATTCTGAGGTTACCTTCCTGAACTTTTTTCCTCTCTAAGTGTCCTTTTTGTATAACGACTTGCATTATTTAGCTTTGTAAGTACCATACCTATATATATATAGTACATATATACTAAAATGATTGATAAATAACCAAAGCTGTGAAAAATTGTTAAATATGTGATACAAATAAATTTGAAATCCTGAACTTCACTTGTTTTCTTTGTTTCTGTTTTTGATCGAACGTATCTTGATAGGAGGCATGGTATTTTCCTGCGGTTCGCAGTAAAAGCAGGAAATATATGTCTGTTCGTATTCGCTAGGAGCTGTAATCTGATTGGCTGGGTGTAACGAGGTGCTGTTGCACGTGCAGGTGATGGTATATGGTGGGAGAGTGTGAAAGCGGGTCATTCTAGCCTGTTGAACCTGACCCAGACGGTTGGGTTTCTATACAGTAAGAAGATGGAGCCGGCGGTAGCGCAAGCTATGTAGGTAGCACAGACAAACATGATGGAGAATTTGGAGCGTATAATGACAGCAAAGTTAGACGGTTTTCAGCAACATATAGCAGATTCTCAGAGAGTTTTGAGCGAGGTACAGTTGGCGAAGTTTGAGACAATGACAAAGGACTCGTACAAGTTTATTAAAAAAGGTAATGAAGAACAGCACAAAGTGAATACAAAGGTGAGGCAGGCAATGAAGGAGGCAGAAGCAGCGTTGAAGGAAAAAGATGGAAAAGAGGCCATGGACATGATATCTAAATCTATTGATATTTTGGACCACAGACAGAAATTAATTAAAATTGCCGATAGTTCAGAGTTTGGTTGGAGGACTGTTTCTGAATATGAAAAGAAGGAGTTGGCAGACAATTCAGAGGATGAAAAAAGGATGGTGAAAGCAGAGAACAGAGCACAGAAGAAGTTTAAGCAACAGATGATGCAGAGGAGAACCAGAGCACAGCCCCGTCGAACGCACCCCTACGCCCAGGCCCCGGAACCGGAAGTCAAAGGGAATAATGTGGATGGAGTGAGAAATAAGAGTGGGAATGGATCAGCGCGTCGTCCCGGGATCTGCTTTAGCTGTGGGAAGCCGGGGCATTGGCGTTTTGAGTGCAGGGAGATACTCAGGAACGTGGATGATCGAAATGCTAAGATAAGTATTGAGAAAGAGAGAATAGATGAGAGCTCTGAACACATTTTTTGTGGGAAAGTGAAAGTAGACTCGCCAGTGGGCAGATTGAAAAGAACATATAATTTTTGGGTTGGTATGGGCTCAGATAAGGCCGTTTTGGAGGTTAAAAGAGAGGGATATAAAATTCCGTTAGTCACATTACCAGGTCCAGATGAAATTAAAAATAATCGGTCAGCGAGAGAGCATGGAGATTTTGTAGAGCAGGAAATAGCAAAGCTTCTCGAGAAAGGTTGTTTTTCGGAATTTGAGAATAAGCCGTATGTTGTAAATCCGTTAACAGTTGCAGAGAACAAAGGAAAAATGAGAATGGTCCTAGACTGTAGGCACATTAATCCTCATATTTACAAGTCGAAATTCAAATATGAAGACAATGTAGTAGCCAAAGATATTTTTTCAGAAGGAGATTTTATTTTTGGTTTTGATTTAAAATCAGCCTATCACCATATTGAGATATTCGAAGAGCATAGGACATACTTGGGGTTTGCATGGGATTTCGAGACAGGACGTAGATACTTCTGCTTTAATGTGTTGCCATTTGGTATATCTAGTGCAGGTTACATATTCACCAAGGTAACAAGAGCAGTGGTAAAGTATTGGAGGGAACAAGGGGAGAGCACTGTGATGTTTCTAGATGATGGGCTTGGAGGGGCTGATGGAAAAGAGAGAGCCACAGCTTTCAATATAAAAGCTAAGAAAGATTTGGAAAGTGCAGGATTTTTAATTGCACATGAGAAATGTAACTGGGAGCCCCAGAGGGAGCTGATTTGGTTGGGCCTGAGATGGCAGATGAATGAAGGTAAGGTTTATGTGACGGATCAAAGAATAAAGAAGTTGTGTTATAGCACAATTACAACGCAAATTGATAAGCAGCAATATTATTGCTGTCAAGGAGCTAGCAGGTATGGCAGGGCAGATAGTGTTGATGTATCCGGCAGTAGGTAGGCTGGTGGAGTTACAAACAAAAGAGATATTTGGTTCCATAAACAGTAAGGCAAGTTGGAATGCCCCGGTGGTAGAAAGTGAGGGCGCAGAAAGGGAAATTAATTTCTGGCAAAAGAAAATTTGGGATGTAAATGGAATAAACATAAGTAACGTAACTGACGTGGACTATAACTAACTTGTGTTCACGGATGCTTCTGGCGACGGTTATGGTGGGTATAGAGTGCAGGAGGAGAACTCTTTTGTTTTTGGAAACTGGTCATTATTTTGGAAAATGGTCATTATATGAGAGCGAGCAGAGCTCGACATGGAGAGAGCTAGAGGCAGTCAGGCGAATGCTGAACTCTAAAGGAGCATGCCTGGAAGGGCATATAGTGCAGTGGCACACAGACAACCAGAATGTTGTCAAGATTGTTGAGAAAGGCAGTAGAAAGCCAGGTCTGCATGAAATTGCAGTCGACATACATAATACATGTGAAGAGAAAGGTATTTGTATCAAACCATTTTGGGTTAGGAGAGATAGAAATGTGACAGCTGATGAATTGAGCAGAGTCAGAGATAGTGATGATTGGTGCGTAGAGGATCGCACATTTAGGTGGCTAGAGGCAATTTGGGGAACTCACACATGTGACAGGTTTGCAAATAATTTGAATACCAAATGTGTGTGTTTTAATTCAAGGTGGTGGGTACCTGGTACAAGGGGGATTGATGCTTTTGAACAGCCATGGGGTTCTGGAGTGAGTCTATGGGTTCCACCTCCAAGACTGATTTGTAAAACAGTAAAGAAGGCTGTAGATGAGAAAGCAAGGGGAACTTTGATAATTCCGTTGTGGAAATCTGCACCGTTTTGGCCAAAAATTCATAGCAAAAATGGTTTTAAGGATTTTGTGAAAGAATTCAAAGTATTGGACTCTAGTATTGTTAAAAAGGGGCTTGGAAAGAATGGTATTTTTGGGGACAGGAAGACGAGATTTAAAATGGTGGCTGTGCGTATCATAGCATAAATGTATGTTTGCAGGCCTAGGGATCCAGGAGGCTATACATACTGAAGTGTCAAAAGGAGGATGTTTGACGGGGAACATAAGGAACCTGGCGGAGAGTATGTCTACACATTTAGTTAAATCCAGAAGTGACAGCACAAATTCAAAATAATATAGAGATTTTCAAAAGTGGGAAAGATTTATCACAGCAGAAGGTGCATGTGCTATTCCAGGACAACCTATCCATGTGGCTTTATACATCACAAAGTTGCTGAACGATCATGTTTCATTCACATCTATACAGGGTGCATTCTATGCCATAAAGTGGGCACACAAGTTACGAGGATTAATGGATCCAACTGACAATCATTTTGTGTCTGGCATTTTGGAATCCGCCAAGAGACAGAACAGTGTACCAGTTAGAAAGAAAGACATTATTTCCACAGAAAACATCATTGATTTATGTAAGAAGTATGAAAGTTCGAGAGATTTACTTGTACTTAGGGATCTATCCATGATTACTTTGTGTTATGCAGGATTTTTAAGGTTCAATGAGGTGAGCAATTTGAGAGGTACAGATGTTAATTTTACAGAGGGGCATTTGGAATTATATATTCAGAAAAGTAAGACTTACCAGAACAGGCAGGGTAACAAGGTCCTGGTAGCAGAAGGGGTCACAGTAGCTTGTCAATGTAAGATGCTAAGAAAGTATATTGAAGTAGCAGATATAGATTTAAAGGAAAAAGATTTTTTATTTAAACCAGCTTACAGATCAGGTTCGAAGTGTGCACTGATACACAAGAGCAAGGCCATTAGTTATACCAGAGCAAGGGAGACAATTCTAGCAAGACTAAAGGAAGTGTGTGGTGCACAGGCAAATTTAGATTTGCACTCGAGAGCCTCCAGGGCTTCCACAGTGGCTAGATCAACAGTTAACGAGAGGTGTTGGAAGAGACATGGTCGCTGGAGAAGCGACAGGGCTAAAGATGGTTACGTTGAGGATTCTGTTGAGAAGCGGTTGGAGGTAACCAAGGCTGTAAATTTGTAGCTATTTATTTATTATTATTACATTATCAAAAATATACGAATCAGATAGAGCTAGTAGTCGGTCATTCAAATTTCCCGTTCTTTGATTTTTCTAGCAGTGCTTCTGTGTGACAGGCAATCGCAGGTATGGTGTTGTTGGTTACTGTAAGGTAGGACACAGTAAGGTTAATTAAGTGACAGTGTAGAACAGACTGGTATTTTCCTGCGGTTCGCAGTAAAAGCAAGAAATATATGTCTGTTCGTATTCGCTAGGAGCTGTAATCTGATTGGCTGGGTGTAACGAGGGGCTGTTGCACGTGCAGGTGACGGTATAGGGTGGGAGAGTGTGAAAGTGGGTCATTCTATCCTGTTGAACCTGACCCAGACGGTTGGGTTTCTTTCATTAATATTTTTCAGCAAATATTATAAATAGTATTAATATTTTAATACTTGTAGTGTATAGGATGAGTACAGATGCACGGATAGTTTGTTTCGAGAACTAGACTGCTTACTGTAGCGATAAATAGTTTAATTACATTTTGTGGCATTTGTCCATAAATCAAAGTTAACCGATTGCAGATATTTTAGAGAATAAGCTATCAGGATTTATATAGTGATAGGCGACCACGGTTTTCCAGAGTTTTTGGACTCATGTAGTTTTCTCTCTGGTTTTTAGCCCAGGATGCATTTCAACGTACAAGGTGCATTTGCAAGGTTTAGTTAATAGGATTGTGCAAAGCGAAAGATATGCATGTATGGGATTTCGATGTGTATTAATTTGATGTGACCATGATTAAACGCCACTCCAGTGCTTCTGTGTGACAGGCAATCGCAGGTATGGTGTTGTTGGTTATTGTAAGGTAGGGCACAGTAAGGTTAATTAAGTGACAGTGTAGAACAGACTGGTAGTCTTGTGGTAGGACACTAGGCTCGTGACCAAATGGGTTCCAGTCATGTCATGGTACTGTGTTGGATCTTTGAGCAAGATAATTTATTCCGCTTGTTCCAGTCTACTCGGCTGTAAATTAGTACGTGGTTGGGCAACGCTAGAATTGTTGAATGCTAGCTGTGAGCGCGGAAATGGCAGCACCGGCTGTACGCTCCCCTGGGAGTTAAGAAAGATATTGGCTGGATGCAAAGGCTCTATAACCAAGGATAATAATTTGTGAACCGCTTTGAGACGACCTACGAACTAAAATGTGAGAACTTCAAATTATTTAATTAATTAATGTCATGGTCTATCCATCTCATAGATTTTTATCCACCACTTTCACCGAAACGTGGGATATTAATTTGGGTACTGTCTGTCTGTCGCGCTTCGTTTCCGTGCAATAACTACAACAAATGTTAACTGACTTTCTTCAAACTTGGTACCAGGGTTAAATGCCTTAAGGGCTCGATCTAGTTTGATGACCACTTTTAGCGAACCCCATTTGGCGGAGTTATGGCCCCTTGAATAACAAAAAAACATCCTTATCTTCATTAACTTTCGCAAATAGTTTCCGATTGTCTTCAAACTTAGTAACAGGGTTCAATACATTTAGGGCTCGACCAAGTTTGAAAACCACTTTAATCAATTTGGCAGAGTCATTATCTGCAGTTTCCACTTAATAACTCAAGTTTCAAGCTATACATTATGTCTCAACAGCACGATACTCACATGTTTAAACCTAACCTCAATAATGTTTACCTACACTATGTCCTGAAAGGGGGGGATATAAATTCTACAAATTTGCTTGTTATCAATACATGCAAGATGGAATAAAAGCATGTGTGGGTTTTATCTTGAATCATATTCAAGGTCACTAGGGTCAAATATGTTTCAAACATTTAAACAACCTCTTCTGAATAACCAAGAGGCCCAGGGTGATGATATTTGGCCAGTAACGTGCTTGGATGAAGGGCTACCAAGTTTGTTCAAATAAATGACCTTGACTATATCCATGGTCACAGGGGTCAAATATGTTAAAATCTTTAAAAAAAACTTCTTCTGAATAACCCAAAGGCCTAGGGTTGCTTTAATTTGGCCAGTAGCATGCTGGGATGAAGGGCTACCAAGTTTATTCAAGGTCACAGGGGTCAAATATGTTTCAAACCTTTGAGTGTCTTGACTTCTTCTTAATCAAAAAGCCAAGGGTGATGATATTAGGCCATTAACAAGCTGGGATGAAGGGCTACCAAGTTTGTTAAAATTAATGACCTTCGCCCATATTCAAGGTCACAGTGGTCAATATATGTTTTAATCTAAAATCGATTTATTCTGCATAACCAAAAGTTCCAGGGTAAGGATATTTGCTAGAAGCATGCTGGGTTGGAAGACTATAAATTCTGTTTAACCTAATGTCCTTGTTTGTTATTCGAGGTCACAGGCGTCATATGTTTAAATCTTTTAATAGGTTCTTATGAATCAAACACTGATATTCTCCTGTAGTTGTATTTTAGTCCACTTTTAAGATTACAAATGTGAGATTAATACCATGTGAGCGATTGAGGCCCATTGGGCCTCTTGTTTAAGGTCTTATCCTTTGGTGACATGACAATTATTGTATTTCACTTTGTTTAAATGTTGTTTTCCACATTTGGTACATCTCAACAATGAAATTGAGCTACTAGTACTTAAAATGTAACTCATGTGACCACTAAGCCCCTTGGGCCTCTTGTAATAACATGCTTATTGATTTATCTTCTATGGAATCATGTCAACAAATCACTGTACACCTGTACAGTACAGCTACGCTTTGTAGACATCTTAAAAGATATTTATGAATCGTTTTACCCTCAAATTGGCACTAACAATTGTATCTTTTATTTAAACACAAACAAATGATGCTAAAATACAAAAACAAATGTGGGATTGTTGCGTCAGAATAAAAAGATGCCAAGCAAAAAATATGAAGTGTTATTATCGCAAATATATTGCCATAAATACGGGGAAATTCATCGTTGAGAATAGTCTCATTTGTTTGAAATGCAGGAAGACTGCAGCACAAAGTAAGGATCGCAGTACACGTGTAAGACATGCTAATCGAAAATTATATATATCATTTTGCTATTCATAGGTACAGGAAAAAATATAATAAAGTTGTGTGTTTTGTAAGAAAGCAGATAATGGCATGACACAGGCAGTAGAAATGAAAATAAAATCCTTTCAAAACTTGTTGGTAATGATTGTACGATCTTGTGTTACATACAGCGTTTTATTTGTTTTAAATTCATAGAAATAACGCGAAAAAAGCATTTTGTTAAGTCTTTATCGCGAAACGCGTGTATCAATGGCCATGCCTTGAATTCGGCTGTTTATATTAATCTATTCTTAGACACAGGATTCCGATAGAGCTACCTGTATAAGTACACGGTGGCACGCGCGCACTAACAGTTTCATCTTTGGGGAAATAGGCACAGCGCTTTTACCAACGCCTGCGAAGTGAAGATTTATTGGGGCGAGATGCATTATAAGAGTTAATAAGATTCTTACTGAGAAAAATGACACAGAGATTTCAAATATCGGATTGAGAGACAGCTCATCAACCCTAGATCACAATTTGAAAATTTTAAAAACGGACGGTTACCTAGAAAATAAATGGTGTAAACTGAGAAAAGGATCCGCATTTGAATAAATTATAAATTATACAAATTTTATGACATGCAGCTTGGTATATTAATTTCATAATGAACAAAATCAATGTAACAAAGAAATCAGGCAAAATAATGAAATGCAATTTCATAACACATAAATAAAAATAACGAAAGATAATTATTATTATCAAAACCTATTGCTGGATTTGATGTAATGATGCACTTGTCTAAAATGTTTGTATTGATTTCTACCGAAAGTTGAGTATCACAAAACAAAGTAATTCTAAATCAAAATCAACATACAAGGTATTCAAATGTTAGAGCAGGATGCGTCTTTCGTTGTTAAAAAGTAAGCACTCTCAAACAAAAGTGAAAGGCATTTTCAAAGGGATGGCCACAATAACAAAATACACTATCAACAAGATTTACTCTATGCAGATCATATTTAAGTGGACAACACTGATGTCTAAGTTTTGTATGCAAAATGTTTAAGTTACGTTCACTGAAACCTAAGTAGA